CCCGACCTCCCACTAAAACTCTCTGAACCAGTACGCAACGTAGGCGTCAGATTTGACCCCCAATTATCCTTCCTCCCCCACATCCGGTCCCTCACCAGCACTGCTTTCTTCCACCTCCGACGCATCACCTGTCTCCACCAATACCTCTCTCCGAAAGCCGCTGAGACCCTGGTCCATGCCTTTGTCACCTCTCGGCTGGACTATTCAAACGCCCTCCTCGCCGGTCTCCCCTCCACTACCATTCACAAAATCCCGATTATACAAAGCTCTGTCACCCGCATTCTCACCCATACCAAACTCCATTCCCTGATCACCCTAGTCCTTGCCAGACTGAACTGGCTGCCTGTCCCAGAGGATCGACTTCAAGATCCTCACCCTTGTCTTCAAATCCCTCCACTCCTCTGCACCCCCTTACCTCTCTGACCTCCTCTCTCCTCAAAACAGTGCCCATTGCCTTCGTTCCACGGGCCCGGCCTCATCCTCATCCCCCGGATCCTCCACTCCACCCTCGGCAGCTGTGGCTTCAGCCACTATGCCCCGAGGCTCTGGAACTCCCTCCTCACTCCCTTCACCTCGACCCCTCTCTTCCTATTTTCAGGTCTCGGCTGAGGACTTTTCTTTTGGACCGCGCCTTTGGTCACCTTCTTCCCCCTCCCCCTGGCTTGGCCCCGGGATCCGTTACTGTGAAGCGCTCTGAGACGCCGTCCGGCGTGGAGGGCGCAATGTAAATCCAAGTTGTCGTCGTTGTTGCTTACGGCCACCTCAGCTCGGAGACAGGCTCCGCCACTGTTTAAGCGCTCTGAGTGGAGGGCACTATATAAGTGCAGATTGTTGTTGTTGTTTGTATTATTTTTACTATTGGAGAAGGAAAACCTGGATATTCAAGTCCTCTGTACAAGCAGACAATCCTTTCAGCTTTGTCTGTTTGAGTTTCTAGTTCGCTGTAAGGCACACAAATGTTTTATACCATGGATAATTACAAACTTGCATACTGTAAAGCTTACATTTAGTGATTGGTGAGTTAACAAACATGATGTAGGAAACATTTTTTTGAAATTGTTCCTTGTGCAATATGGTGCACCTTGAGCCCCTGAGCAAACTCTATGCTTGCCCAATTCTAGAACCAATACCCAGTGTGAATTAGGTGATCATAGTAAGAATGGTTCTAGTTGGCTTCAGAGTCACTGAGTTAGGTATCAGATAGCTTCACAGGAGGAGGAAGGGAAATTGGTCAGAGAAGAAAAACCCAAACCACCATATTATTTTAGATGAGTATATTTCAAATATTTTGTCACATCAGAATACAGTTACGTTACTCTCATTACTTTTGGTCTATTTCCAACATGAAATGGAAATGCCGACTTTAATGGTTTAGTAATTCCAGCTAAATGAAATTCCAACAGCAACAACTTGGGTTTATATAGCTCTCCTCACGCAGCGTAGCATCCCAGAGCGCTTTCAATGTTAGTTTCAGGAAAAAGTTTTACAAATCCAGGTGAACAGCAATTTTATCCTTTTGTGTTTTTAAAAAGCAATGGATATTTGGCAGATCTCCAGCTGTTGAAAATTGTTCTGTCCGCTCAGCTTCGATCTTCTAAGTGACATTTGCAGGTAGTAGGCTTGAGCAAAAGCAGCTGTCCAAGAGGACACCCCATTCCCGATGCTCAGAATTATTTATGACCATAACATTTTGATAAAAGAGAATGAAAAAGTGAAACACCTTTCTTAACCCTTTTCATATCAACAGGGAGGGAGCTTTAATTGGATGAAGCTTGCATGACAGTGCATTGCCTGCGGTGAGGTGGGCAGGAGGCAGCAGCTAGGAAACCTTGTGACACATTACTGCAGGATGGAGAACGCATGGGGTGCGGGAAATAAAGTGACCCAGGGGATGTTGGCAAATTTTGTCTGGTTCACAGTATACCTAAAGAGAATAACAACAGAAAAGCAGCAACAAGCTCAAACTTTAAAGATTTTTTTTCATTTACAGTCAACGTTTCATTCACTGTCACCTCCTTCAGTTATTTGAAATGCTAAAATAAAGTCTGAATCTAGGATAAGAGGTATTCCAGATATTCTTAATTAATGAATTGGTGAAGCATGTTTGCATTCTGGTAGGATTCATGCCAACAGCATTTCCCGGAAATATTTTTAAGCATCTAATATCTGGTCTTGTTAGTTTCATTTATTTTTCTAAATAAAGTACATTAGATTTCCTCAATTTAAAGGTTCTGCCCTAAGTAAACAGCTTATTCTGAATTCAGTAAGCCTACACCTGTCATCGTGTTGCCTCTAACAAAAAAATATTGATGCTAAAGACATCACGTATACAGCAACATACATAGGGATCCATAGCAAGTCATAGCCTGCCATTATTTTTCTCATAATAATGATAGATTCATCCCCAAACTACATTTTAATATCACTTCTGGAGACTGCCTAGAACATGTATTCCACAAAATGCAGCAGAATTTGGTACTACCATGTAAAGTGTTTCTCAAACAAGTAACAAATATTTTTATCTGTTTTATCTGCTTCTTTCAAGACATCAAATAATATGCTGGCTTCAAGGGCCAGAGGATGGTTAATGTAAATTATACTATCTATTGGGCATATTTGAGTAATTTTCATGTACTGTTATCTATAGTTTTAAGAGTTCTGTGATATAATAACAATCCTTGCATTTGATACAGTGCCTTATGACGTCTTTGAGACGTCGCAACACGCTAACAGAATATACTGTAAAGTGAGTTGACTATATATTGTGGGCGAAACGCAGCAGCCAATTGCACACAGTCGCACACAGTCGTGGATTGAGTGATCAAATAATTATTATTTTGACTAACAACTGGGTTCCTACTTACTGCTAGGTAAACAGGCGTGTGGAGTAAGGAAACCTGCCCAACGTTTTGCCTTGCCCGGGAATCGAACCCAGGTCCTCTTGTTTGCGAGGCGAGTTCTCCAACCACTAAGCTACAGTTTCTTTAGAAAATCTGTCTGATCATACATGTAGTTTTCAGCATTAGGTTTTACACATGGGCAGTTTTGTGCACACATAAACTACATCTGCAACTTTAATTATGCTGTATAAACATTTGCCTACAAAACAAAACAGTTAGTCCACTTTGCAATATATCCTGTGAAACCTTTGCAACATCTTCCAGAAGATGAAAAGCACTATGCAAAATGTAAGTATTAGGGGCCATAGATAATCACAATTTATAGTAGAAATCAGCTGATGACTATCCGAACAACTGTGCCAGACCTGGGCTTATAAGCATTGTGAAGTTGTTGCCTTTGAGTTCTAAGAGATGCAATTGTGAGGTGGACACTGATGTAGGAGGAGCAAAGTGGAGCTTTGGTTTCAGAGTTGGCACCACTATTAAAATGGTACCAACAGCAGAGGCAGTAAAATGGAAAGCACCACTGCCCGACTGAGTGATTTAAGCTGAAACCTAGAAAGTAAACCCACTAAAACATAAAATCTTTTCAATAACAACTTGCACTTATATAGCGCCTTCCACGCCAGGCGGTGTCTCAAGAGAGCTTAACAATGGTGAAGCCCAAGGCTGAGCCAAGGGCAGGGGGAAGGTGACCATAGGTGCGGTCAAAAAGGAAGGTCTTCAGGCTTCAGGAGGGGTCGAGGTGAAGGGGTTGAGGGAAGGAGTTCCAAAGTTTCAGGGCGTAGTGGCTGAAGGCACGGCCGCCAATGGTGGAGGATTCGGGGGACGCGGAAGTGGCCGGACCCAGTAGAGTGGAGGCAGCGGGTACTGCTGTGGGGAGAGAGGTTATAGAGATAGGGGGCTGACAAGGAATGGAGGGATTTAAACACTAGAGTGAGGATCATGACCTGAAGACCTTTTCCAGAACATCTGCAGCAAATGCATAAGCTAATGATACTTACACATGTGAAGTTGCCTTCAATTTTTTCTTTTAAATTTTTAAGATTTTACCAATCTTAAAAATATTTAAGTTCCCCACTTCATTTAAATTTACCTCCGAATACAAATTTTGCTACTCCTATCATTGTGGTTTACCGGACATTGTTGTTGCAGAATAGCTACCACGTTTGACAATATAATTCACTTTTATGACTAACCGATTTAGATTTGAAAAGTTTCTGGATGTTTATTACATGAAAGGCTTCATGCAAATTATTAATTTTGATTGCTTACTTAAGGTCTTATTCCTTTCAAATGGATGGTATTTGTTGGCAAGTACATCATCCCCCCCAGGTCTGTTGGGAGTCGTTACACTGAAAACAATGCATATTTAATGATTGAAGCAATCGGTTTGAGGTTTCACTGATTCAATGGATGCAGTGGAGGTCTTAACTGTCGTGACAAATGATAGCATTGTGTAAGAATATTGCAATGGCCTAGTTTTGGACACGGTGCAGTTATTTTCTCTTCTGTGGTGGTCTTGAGAATTACAGGGTCCTTGAGTCGAGTGAGCTTTTTACATTGGGCACCAGACAACCTGGCAATCTCCCAGATCCAGACGGAGGGAAAACAACACTTGTTTCAACGGGGTGATGGCTCAACAACCAGTGTTTTGCTCATTAACCTTTTAAGATTCCCGAAGCACTGTTGTGGATCCTCTAATCCGATATTTGCAAATTGAATCTTAGTATTAACACATCAAACACCAACAACAACAAATTGCAATTATATGGTACTGTTCATGTCAGGATCCTGTCCTAAGACACTGAACACTCAAGAGTTTGCACCCAAGCTGGGGGTTGGAATCAAGAGAGGTGGAGGCAGTGTAGGGGGGGTCTAAGAGGAAGATCAATAATCCTATTTAGTGAATATCACTAGTTAATACCCCTGTAGAGAAAGTGACAATACTATGTAGCTATATTCTATAAAATATATTAAAGGGAAAGTCAATCTACAATTTACAGTGAGTATAGTTACATAATGAGTCTGAATTTTCAATTTCTGCTTAATTGATAGGAATGTTCACTTTTGTCTGCATCAGAATGAAAAACAAGAAGGTGCAAGTGTACTAATAGAATTTAATGAACAAAAATCTGTAGAAAAAAATAATTAAAATGAACAGTATTTTCATTTCCAGTGGCCAGTTTAATTTTCCTTTTTGCTGTTTGCACAAGGTTTCAGCTCCTCTGTTCCGTGTGCAAATGGGCATCTTTCTGTGCTTCGAGGACATCCATCAGGGTGATTTGCAAAAAACCAGCAGAGACGTGTCTTGCATGCTTCAGATGGTAATTTTCTTTTCGCATTGGATGCTGGTCGTCTTGTTTGCTTCTCTTTTGTCCAGTCACGAATCTGAACGTTGCTCTGGACAACTAAATGTTGAAGAAAAATACAGAATAAGTGTGATCTTTAAGGTATCACATTTACCAGCCTGTAGTGTGTGTATATATATGTGTGTATGTATATATAATATAGTATCAATAAATAAGTAAAATGGTGTACTATCATAACTTGATAAAGTTAAATCATCATAACAACACAAAACTAATCTTAAAAAACTACAGCATCACCGGTTTGGTCTAAATCTACATTTAGAAGACACAAAGCTAATCCGAAGAGAATCTTTCTCGTAGCACAGCTAGGAAGATCTTTAATTGGATACAGTGGATTAATTTCAGTTAGAAGCAGTCAGTGTTCTTGAGCTGATGCCCTGTTCTCTATGTCCTTACATGTGCTTTTATTCACAGGAAACTCTTTCCCAAACTGACCTGAATAGGAAAAAGTTGAATCTTTGTAATTGATGACAGTATACCACAGGATTCGTTCCTGTCATCATGATCACTGTAATGACCTTTACTAACATAAAACAAGTTAAACAAGCAAATAATAATTCTTGATTTTGAAGAATCATTATATTGTTGCATTATATATTATATTGTTGCATTGTCTCAAAGTGCTTCATAGGACATATTGTAAAGTGCGTTGACTGTGTATTTTGTGGGTGAAACCCAGCAGCCAGTTTGCGCACATCAATGACACACAAACAGCCACGGAGTGAGTGTATTTGGGGGATTTGTTGGCCAGGACACCTGAAGAATCTCCCTTCTCTTTTCAAATAGTGCGATGGGATCTTTAACGTCCACCTGAACAGGCAGACAGGACCTCAGTTTAAAGTCTCAACCGAAGGACAGCACCTTCGACAATACAACACACTCACAGCACTGATAGTCAACTTAGTCTATGGTTTCAAGTCGGTTTTGAAACCACAACCTTATTCAGAGGCAAGAGCATTACTGGGGAACGAGAAACAAAGTTTCAAAGCAACAACAGCAACTTGAATTTACATAACATCCTTCACACAGGATTGTTTCTCGGAATGCTATCCAATGGCAAAATTGTAACACCAAGCCAACAGAAAAACAGGAGAGGGAAATGTTCAGAGGTATGGCCAAAGTAAATTTTAATATGGGTTTTAAAGACAGGTAAAGAAGGGGTGAAGCAGAGGGATTGAATCTTGTAGGAGTTCTGTAGCTCAGTGATTAGAGCACTCGCCTCTCAAGCGAGAGACCTGGGTTCGATTCCTGGCAGGGCGAAACCTTAAACAAAACTAAGTTTTCTTACTTCACACACCTGATAATAATCCCTCAAGAGAAAAAAAACAATAATAAATTGGTCACTTCAATCCACGACTGTTTGTGGGACACTGGTGTGCGCAATTGCTCCCTCCTACCTCCGCGGTCACTTCCCCTCCAACATCCACCCACCCCCCCCACCCCCTCCCTCCCACACTCCGACTCCTACCCTACTCCTACACACTTTCGTACCCGTTTCCCTACCCTCTGTCACCAAACTCATCCTATCCCTGAAACCCACCACCTGCTCCCTTGACCCTATCCCCACTCCACTCCTTATCTCCCAGCTCCACCTCCTTGCCCCACATATCACAGACAACGTCAACCTGTCCCTCTCCTCTGGCTGTTCCCATTCCCTTAAAAACTGCCACCATCACTCCCACCTTGAAAAAACCCTCCCTTGATGCGTCGCAGCTATCAAGCTACCGGCCCGTCTCCAACCTTCCCTTCCTGTCCAAGGTCCTGGAAAGAGTTGTCGCCTCCCAACTGCGCTCTTTCCTCTCCACCCATTCATTATTCGAACCCCTTCAGTCAGGTTTCCGTGCTGCCCATAGCACAGAAACTGCCCTGGTCAAGGTCACCAATGACATCCTGACCATCTGTGACCAGGGCTCCCTCTGCCTCCTCGTCCTATCGGCAGCATTCGATACGGTCGACCACGCTATCCTCCTCCACCGCTTGTCCTCCCACCTCAACCTTCAAGGCCCTGTCCTTGAGTGGTTTAGGTCGTACCTCTCCCACCGTCTTCACTTTGTTTCCACAAACGGCTTCTCCTCCACCCCCCGCACTGTCTCGTGTGGTGTCTCTCAGGGATCTGTCCTCAGTCCACTCCTCTTCACCCTCTATATGCTCCCCCTTGGTGACATCATCCGCAGACATGGGGTTAACTTCCACATGTATGCGGATGACACCCAACTCTACCTTTCCTCCTCTACCCTCAACTCCACGACCACCGATGTCCTGACAGCTGCCTGTCCGACATCGAGTCCTGGACGAGAGACAACTTTCTTCAGCTCAACGTGCATAAAACTGAGGCCCTCCTGATTGGCTCGCGTTAGCGCCTCCGCACCTCAGGCGCTGACAGCATCAGCATCCAAGGCTGCACTCTCCACCTCTCAAAGCCAGTCAGGAACCTCGGGGTTCTGTTCGACCCTGAGCTGTCCTTTCTCCCTCATATCCGCGCCACAACTGGCACCGCCTTCCATCACCTCCGGAATGTCGCCAGACTACGGCACTACCTCACCCCTCACGCTGCTGAAACCCTGGTCCACACCTTTATCACGTCAAGGCTGGACTATGGGAACTCTCTCCTCGCCGGCCTTCCCGCCACCTCCCTCCACAAGCTGCAGGTCATTCAGAACTCTGCAGCTCATGTACTGTCCCGCACCAGGCTTCGGGACCACATCACTCCCACCCTCGCTCGCCTCCACTGGCTCCCCATCCCCCAGAGGATCGAATTCAAGATCCTCATCCTCACCTACAAGGCCATTCACGGCCTTGCTCCCTCCTACCTCTCCGACCTACTATCCCCCTACCTACCTGCCTGTACCCTCCGTTCCTCTGGCTCCGGTCTGCTCCACATCCCCCTCCCCAACCGCCCTACCATCGGTGGCCGGGCTTTCAGCCTCTCAGCCCCTAGGCTCTGGAACTCTATCCCCCAGTTCCTTCGCCGCCTCCTCCCTTTCCTCCTTCAAGGCTGGTCTCAAGACCTTTCTCTTTGACCGTGCCTTCAGCTCCCCTCTCGACTCTCTACCCCTCCTCGCTCCCTCCCTTCCCTTCCCTCCCCTCACCCTGACCATTTCCCCCCTCTTCGCTCCCTCCCTTCCCTCCCCTCACCCTGACCATTTCCCCTTTGCTCGGGTCCCAACCCAACTGTACAGCGCCTTGGGACGTCCTCCCGACGTGAAAGGCGCTCTATAAATGGAATCTTGTTGTTGTTGTTGTTGCTGCGTTTCACCCACAAATATGCAGTCAATTCACTTTACAGCATATTTTGTGAAGCTCTTTGAGACGTCTAGAAGACGTGAAAAGCACTATATCAAATGCAAGGATTATTATTATTGAGGCAGAGGGTTCCATAGATTAGGGGATAGTGGCTGAAGGCATGGCCATCAATGGCGGCGTGAAGGGATCGTGGAATACACAGCAGGCCTGTGAGCACTGAGTCGGGCAATGGAACATAAATGTAGAAAAATAAGTCATGTAATACTTGTGAATGTACAAAAGGATTAATTAATCTTTAAATTTATATATGGATTTCAACTGTTAAGTTGATTTCAACCTTGAAGAAACCTTCCCTTGACCTATAGCAGCTATCCAGCTACCAGCCCAATTCAAATCTCCCCTTCCTATCCAAGTTCCTATCCTCTTACTCCCTCCATGAACCCCTGCAATCGGATTTCTGTGCTGCCAAAAGCACGGAAACTGCTCTGGTCAAGGTTACAAACGACATCCTGACCATGTGTGACCAGGGCTCCCTCTGCCTCCTCGTCCTCTCCGCCGCTCTTTGAAACTGTGGACCACTCAATCTTCCTCCACCGCCTCTCCTCCCACCTCAACCTTCAAGGTTCTGTCCTTGACTGGTTCAGGTCCTACCTTTCACACCGCTTCCACTTCGTCACTGCAAACAGCTTCTCCTCCAGCCCCCGCACTGTTTTGTGCGGTGTTCCTCAGGGCTCTGTCCTCGGTGCTCTCCTCTTCACTCTCTACATGCTCCCCATTGGTGACATCATCCACAGTCGTGGGGTAAATTTCCACATGTATGCAGATGACACCCAACTCTACCTCTCTGCCTCCACCCTGAACTCCAGGACTACTGGCATCCTGACCGACTGCCTGTTCGACATCAAGTCCTGGACGAGGAACAACTTTCTCCAACTCAACGTTAGCAAGACCGAGGCCCTCCTGATTGGCACCTCGGGCGCTGGCAGCATCAGCCTCCACGGCTGCACACTCAACCTCACTAAGCCAGTCAGGAACCTGGGTGTCTTGTTTGACCCTGAACTGACCTCTCTCTCCCACATCCACGCAATGACCGGCACTGCCTACCACCACCTCCACAAAATTGCCAGACTCCGTCACTGCCTCACCCCTCAGGCCTCCGAAACCCTCACCTACTCATTCGTCACATCAAGGCTCGATTACGGGAACTTCATCGGCCTTCCCAACTCTTCCCTTCACAAGCTGCAGATCATCCAAAACTCTGCAGCCCGTGTACTTTCACACACCAGGCTCCGTGACCCCATCACTCCCACCCTCACCCGACTCCACTGGCTCCCCATCCCCCACAGGATCGAGTTCAAGATTCTCGTCCTCACCTTTAAGGCCATCCATGGCCTTGCCCCCTCCTACCTCTCTGACCTGCTGACTCCGTACCAACCTGCCCACTCCCTCCGTTCAGTGGGCTCCGGCCTGCTCCATGTCTCCCACCCGACGTGCGCTACTATCGGTGGCCGGGCTTTCAACCTCTCTGCCTCCACACTCTGGAACTCCATCCCACGGCATCTTCGCCTCGCTTCCTCCCTTGCCTCTTTCAAGGCCGATCTCAGGACCCTTCTCTTCGACCGTGCCTTCGGTCGCCCTCCCACTTCTCTGCCTTCCCTTACCCCTATACCACCCCTTCCCCATGCTCGGGCTCCGACACCTGACTGTTCAGCGCTTTGGGACGTCCTCCCGATGTGAAAGGCGCTCTATAAATGTAATTTTGTTGTTGTTGTTGTTGTAGTAAGTGACTGAATTGTCGTGAGATTAAATGTTTAATAGACCTAATATAGTCTAATTAATATTAAAAAATCATATTTGTGGGAATGATAATGTAAATAGAACAGATGATTGTAAAAACTTTTGTTCGGTAAATAAGAAAATTGATTATCAATGGAAAAAATATATTGTTCATAAATAACAGCCAAGATTCATCTTCATATACATTCAATATATGCATGGTCACACAGAGACATATATAGACATACAAGTAGGGCTACATGTTCAGACATTTCAAAAGAATGAAGTTTTTCTTGCAGGAACAAATTAGATAGAGCAGGTGAAAAATCTAAGTTGTAAGCCTTACCTTCAAATACCTGATAATTGTTTCTCAACAAAGTCTTCAAACCTCCACATTCCTTCTTTAATCTCTGCAATGCATCTCTGTCCAAAAGGCCTGCCACATTCTTCAGAGGCAGACTTCCTGCAATGAAAAAGTATTGAGGACTACCTTAAGCCAAATAACAAGATTTCAAAATAGTATGTGGCCTGATCTCTCATGAACATCAGATTTCTTTCACAAACTACATCATTCTACAAACTTCAGTAACTGTCAGCGATCTTTTAATTATTTATAATTTAATCTACATTGACCTTTAGAATTACAGAAGAAGTTACTAATAAGAAAAATGCTGCATTTAAAATGTACTTAGCCTAGTAGAAAGTATGTAGCATATTATTATTGAAATTATTGATAGAAATAAATTTGAGAGTTGTTAGGGAAAATATTACATGAAGTATTACGTGAGCACTCTGCTACAACAATGCCGTGTAAAGATTTGTCACTGTGTGAACTTATGAAGTCAAAGGTAGGGACTTAGCTGGCTTTGATTTATTTTAGATATTGCACACTTCTGAAATATTCAGGCACAAGATTCTGAATTGAAAGGTTACATGTCAAGCACATTCAGTTCACAGTATGAGTGAATGTACAGTAATTGAATTGTATAGAACAACAGAGAACTCTGGTATAAATTTAAAGCTTCACAGACTCGTTGTTCCTATTATATTGACAGGTGCTAAACCAGTAGTTTGGCATTTGATCTCATCAATAAAATGTGAATCAAAAGTAAAACAGATTTTCGGGGACAAATGTGTACAGCAGGTAAAAAAAAACTGATTTCTAATGTAGACCAACTAGCTAAAATACCTTGAATGAGTCTTTTAAAAATAGAGAGAATGTGTCTAAACAGGCCAACGGAACCTCAGTTTAACATCTCATCCGAAAATGTTTACTACGTGGGTATCAGGGTATCATAATATATGGAGAAAAAGCAGGCATGTTGTCAAATTACAGATCCTCTACGATCTAAGTTGCTGCTGAAGATTTTACCTGATGACCAAATCTTTGCAGTTCTATGCAACATGCTTTGCAGCTCTGTAGTTATTAGTTTGAGAATCAGCAGAGGGAAAATGTGCAACTGGCAAAATGTGCAAATAAAATATGATGCATTTCGTTAGGACTGGCTAGGAAATTGGCAAAACTCGACTGACAGTTTGCACCTCAACATTCGAAAAAGTAACATAATTTGTGTTAGGAACATAAAGACAGGGGTAGATCATTCGGCCCGTCAAGCTTGCTCAACCATTTTGTTAGATCGTACCTGATCTGTAACTTAATAGTATATGTCTGCCTTTTCTCCATATATTATGATACCCTTACTCATTGTAGATAGTTACGGATGAGATGTTAAACCAAGGTCCCATCGGCCTGTCCAGGTGGATGTTAAAGATTCCGTGTCGCTGCTCGAAAAGTGAATAGGGTTTCTCCAGGTGTCCTAGCCAACAATCCCCCCGCAAAAATTGGTCACTCACTCCGTAACTATTTGTAAGACATTGCTGTGCACATATCAGCTGCTATATTCGCCCGGGTATCCGATGAAGTGTTTTGAGATATCTCAATGTGATAAGGCACTATACCAATATAAGGGTTATTAGTATTTATCTATCATCCTTTAAACATTCCCGTCTCTACATGAACAGTCTTTGAGGAAGTAAATTCCACAATCTTACAACTCTGAAAACAAAGCCTTCTAATTTTATCTTGAACAGGTCTAAACCTACGTTTTAGATTATATCCTCTTGTTCTGGACACTAAAACCATAGAAAAAGTCTTATTCATTTTGTCAATTCTCTTAAACACATTGATCAGATCACCCTCCTTCACCTCCTCTATTCAGGGGGTACAGCCCCAGTTTGCCTATTCTGTTCTCATAACTAAATTCCTTTGGGTTGGACCAGCATATTCCTACTTACACAAACTTCTTGTGCATACTTACACAAAACAGGAGAACTGGAGGCAATAATTCGTAGTGAGGAACCAGATATAATTGGGATTACTGAAACGTAGCTACAAAAAAAACAGGACTAGCAACTAAACATTGCAAGGTATAACATATTTAGAAAGGATAGAGATGGGGAAAAGAGCAGTGGAGTAGCTGTACTCGTTAGGGATAATATCGTGACAGTAGAAAAAAGGGACATAGCCAACAGTAAGACAGAAACAGAATCTGTGTGGATAGAGATTAAAGATGGGATCATTCACACAAATAGGTGTCCTCTACAGACCACCTAATAGTGGAAGAGAGGTAGAGGAAGAAATAATAATAATAATCCTTGCATTTGATGTAGCGCTTTTCACGTCATCTAGACGTCTCAAAGCACTTCACAGGATATAATGTAAAGTGAATTGACTGTATATTTGGGGGCGAAACAAAACAAAATATAAAAATATGCAAGCAAATTAGGGAAATGAGTAAAAGACACAGAATAATAATCATGGGGGATTTCAACAACCCCTAAATAAATTGGCTAGAAGAGGTAGATAAAGGGGATAAGGGAATGGAGTTCCTTCAATGTGTACAGAACTTCTTTCTTACCCAGTATGTAAGAGGAATACAAGGGAGGAATCGCTGCTGGATATGGTAATGGGAAGTTAAAAGAAGTACGAGTAGGGGAACATCTAGGCAATAGTGATCATAACTTAATAAGGTTTAAGATAATGATTAAGAAGGTCATCAGTATGACAAAGACCAGGGTAATAGATTGGAAAAAAGCTGATTATGAGGGGATGAGAATGGAACTTGGGAAAATAAACTGGAAAAAATATTGGCAAACAAAGAGATAGAGCAGCAGTGAGAAACATTTAAAACAGTGGTCAATAGAGTCCAAGAGAAATATATTTTGCTAAAAAGCAAGACAAAGCTAATAATAATGACACCAAGGATGAATAAAGACATAAGGGCAAAGTTAAGACTCAGGAAAGAGGTGTTCACTAAGTACATAAACAACAAGGGAGAACATGACCAAAAAAATACGAAGAGGTCAGGAAAACAATCAAAAAAAATTAGGAAGGCAAATAGGAATTATGAAATTAAATTATCAAGGAATATAAAAATAAATAGTAAAATATTCTACAGACATATAAATAACAAAAGAAAAATCAAAATAGGAATAGGGCCACTAAGGGATGGACAAGATAAGCTCCCAGGCCGCGACGGCTAAATGGCAGAAATATTAAATAATTACTTTGCCTCAGTTTTCACCTGGGAGATGGATCAGGTGGACATGACAGTAGAAGAGAAGAGATCGAAAGTAATATAAATACATTTAAGATACAAAGGGGAGATATAATCGAAAAACTAACGAAACTCAGAGAGGATAAAACCCCCGGTCCAGATGGATTGCATCCGCGTATATTAAAAGAATCGAGGGAAGAGATAGCAGAGGCACTATTACACATATATAACTCATTAGAAAAGGGAGTAGTGCCAAAGGACTGGAGGATAGCTAATGTTATACCTATATTTAAAAAGGGAGATAGAACAACCCCAGAGAACTATAGACCTGTCAGCTTAACACTGGTGGTAGGAAAGATAATGGAATCCTTACTGAAGGAGGTAATAGAAAAACATTTAGAAACGGAAAACATAATAAAGAATAGTCAGCACGGATTTCAAAAAGGAAGGTCATGCTTGACAAACCTCAATGAATTCTTTGAAGGGGTAACGGAAAGAGTAGACAAGAGTAATCCAAATATATTTGGATTTCCAAAAGCTGTTTGATAAGGTACCACATAATAGACTAACAAATAAGGTCAGAGCATGTGGAGTCAGGGGAAAAATAGCTGAATGGATAGCAAGCTGGCTGTAAACCAGAAAACAGAGAGTAGGGGTAAAGGGTAGCTACTCAGACTGGTGGGCAGTGGTGTTCCACAAGGATCGGTATTGGGACGTTCACAATATACATTAATGATTTGGATTCAGGAATCAGCAGTTCAATTTCAAAATTTGCGGACGATTCCAAATTGGGGGGAGTAGTTAATACAGAGGAGGACTGCAACAAATTACAGCAAGATATTAATAAACTTGCTGAGTGGGCATTTAAATGGCAAATGCATTTCAACGTAGAAAGTGTGAAGTAGTACATTTTGGTAGAAGGAATAAGGAAGTCACATACATCCTGGAAAATAAAAACCTAAATGGAGTTAGAGGAGCAAAGGCATCTAGGGGTACATGTACACAATTCACTAAAGGTAGCAACGCAGGTTAATCAGGCCATGAACAAAAAACAGGCTTTGAGGTACATTTCTAGAGGGATAGAAATAAAAAGCAGGGAAGCTATGGTAAACTTCTATAGAACATTGGTTAGCCCACACTTAGAATACTGTAAAGGAGCTGGAGAGGGTGCAAAGGAGATTCACAAGGATGATCCCAGAACTGAGAGGTTATACCTATCAGGAAAGACTGAACATACTTGGATTCTTTTCTCTTGAAAAGATAAGGGTAAAGGGTGACCCGATAGAGGTCTTTATGAAAGGTTTTGATAGGGTAGACATAGGGAAGATGTTTCCACTTGTGAGTGAGACCAAAACCAGTGGCCATCAATATAAAATAGTCACAAATAGATCAAATGGGGAAGAAATTTCTTCACACAAAGATTAGTGGGAATATGGAAAATGCTACAAGGAGTTATTGAGACAAATAGCATAGATGTACTTAAGGGAAAGCTAGAATAGTTACATGAGGGAGAAAGGAATAGAAGGTTATGCTTGAAGGCTTGACAACAACAACAAGATTACATTTGTATAGTGCCTTTCATGTTGGGAGGACGTCCCAAAGCGCTGGACAGTGTACAGCACTTCAGACCCAAGCTGGGATCAGGGAGGGAGAAGGGAGGAGGGGAGAAGGGGGGTGGCTGATGGCATAGTCGAAGAGGAGGGTTTTGAGGCGGGACTTGAAAGGAGGCTAAGGAGGGGGCGAGGCGGAGTGATTGGGGGATGGAATTCCAGAGGTTGGCTGAAGGCTCACCCGCCAATGGTGGGGCGGGTGGGTTGGGGGACGTGGAGCAGGCTGGAGCCGGCTGAGTGGAGGGAGCGGGAGGTTTGGTAGGGGATTAGAAGGTCACAAAGGTAGGGTGGGGTGAGGCCATGGAGGGCTTTGTAGGTGAGGACCAGGATCTTGAACTGGATCCTCTGTAGGATAGGGAGCCAATGGAGTCAGGTGAGAATGGGGGAGATGGGGTCACGGAGTTTGGTGCGGGAGAGGACACGGGCTGCAGAGTTCTGGATTATCTGCAGCCTGTTGAGGGAAGAGTTGAGGAAGGGCAGGAGGAGGCTCATTTGGAGCATAAACACCGGCATAGACCAGTTGGGCCGAATGGCCTGTTTCTGTGCTGTATATTCTAATGTATGCTAATGTATTCTAATGTATTCTTCAAAACTCAAGTGTCATAATTGCACTTTCAATGGAAAATTTGCCTCAGTCTCTTAATAAAACATCGCATTAATTCTGGGCTAAAACCCTTTAATTTGTGCCAACAAACATATATAAAAATATAGCAAACAATCATCAAGCAGCAGAACAACTTCTTGATAAAGTAGACCTAGCTACCAAATATAGCTCTATTAAAAGACTTCATACTCACCCTGTTAAACATTCTTCATATAAAGATGTGTCAGAAGGAAGTCAAAAGTAGGGATACCTGAGACTTCTAATATCCCTACTTTTGACTTCATTCAGAGATTTCTCTTACACCTTGCACAACGGTAAGAAGTTAGGAAACCACTGCTTCTAGAACATGCCCTCCTGTCTACGAGTACCATACCAAAGATTCAGAAATTTCTTACAGTTATAGGCTTAACACTATGATTTGAAAATTTTAGACTGTGCAGAATTTTAGAATATTGTGAAATTCAGTTTCAAGTTAGGAGCCGAGTCTTACAAACAATTATTTTTAAGAAGTAAAATAAACAGTTAGAAGTTCTAAATTAAGACTGAACTTAAAAATTCTAAAATTCTGTACGATCAGGCATTTTAAGACATTGTGGTCTTTGGTGAAGACTAGGTAGATTTGGGAACCTCCGTTTTGTAAAGATTATATGTCAAGTAGAAATAGTGGTTCTTTATTAAACTTCTGATGCGATCAGAGAAAAGCACACCAATCAAGGCTTGGAAGATTTAAATATATCCATGACCATCAGGCCCAGCAATTCAGTAATATCTATAGATATAAGGAAATCAGTTTATAATCTTGTGACTAATTCATATCAAATGTCACTTATGATGTGTGACATTCTTCAGTAGTACAGTAGTTAGTCACCGAAGGACAAGTGTCCTTATATCTTTAGGGGCAGTACTTAGGTGCCTGAGCCAGAATATGAAGAAACTGACTTTTTGAAGTTACTTTTGTCCAGAATAGCCCCAGCACCCCAACAAAGCTAACCGTTAATACTTAAAGGTGAGCCAGCAAAGAATCAAGATTGTCAAGTTCCCAACAGTTACCATGATGGCTGATAATTGGGTAATAAAGGAAAGCAAGAGAAATCAAATGACATCTCAATATTAACAACAAATTGCATTTATAAAGCACCTTTCACATCGGGAGGATGTACCAAGGTGTTGGACACAGAGCTGAGTGCAATTAAAATAATAATAAATCTTGCATTTGATACAGCACCTTATCATGTCATCAACACGTCTCAAAGAGCTTCTCAGGATATACTATAAAGTGGAGTGACTGTTTTGTTGGTGAAGATGACTTTGGATGACTTCAAAGACTCATCTTGGTATAACAATTCACATTTCTGTCATCTTGGTAAATAGTAGTTTTGCCTTGTGCAAACTAAAAAANGATTACATTTGTGGAGGTTCAAGGTCAAAATAACCTGCTGCAGAAAACAGAAGTCTTACCTCCCTTGTTCCAGCAACCCTTGTCTTCATCGTTGCTTTTTTCCTGGTGGTCCTGATTAGCATTCAGCAATGCATTTGCCACATGAAGCACCACACCATCAATAAAGTCGCGGGGTAATGTAGCACAGTTCTTAACCTTCTCTATCTTCTCTCTAGGTTGGAAGCCACCCACCCAATTGCTGGATGTAGAAGAATCGATTGGAAGAGATGCTTCTTCCATCATATCACCAATGTCACTGGTAAAATGCTTCATGTCATGAGAATGTAGTGATTCAGGAGCTGTCATCTCATTATTTGCTGCACTTTTCCCACCAGTGAGTCTTCCTCTGATGTACTGGGTTCGTTCTTCATCCAGTCTTCCTTCACTGGAAGGGGGATATTTCCTCTGCTTACCAAGCAGGCACACCTAAAGTACAAAGGGCGAGTTGGAAAGTAAGGAAAAGAGAGGAGACACGCAAGTCACATCTCTCCATCTTAATATGACTTCAGCACCTGTGACAAGAGGCATACAGCTCCCATGAACATTGTGTAAATAGAATAAATGTAAACATCAAAACACCACCATTTGATGTTTATATTTATTTTCTGTAAACAATCATTTCCAGATAATGTGAAAAGTCATAACCGCCTGAATTTTTTATACATATATTAATTGTTTATACACAACAATTTACACTTGACGCTTTTCACAATGTGAATGTCTTACAGCCTTTCACAAAAGCAATAAAAAGGAGTCCTGTAGCTTAGTGGTTAGAGCACTTGTCTCGCAAGCGAGAGGACCTGGGTTCAATTCCCAGATGGGGTGAAACCTTAGGCAAGTTTCCTTACTCCACATGCCTGTTTACCTAGCAGTAAGTAGGAACCCAGTTGTTAGTCGATTGGCGGATTGCTTTACCGGGAGTAATAATACCTTCAAAAAAATAAATAAATTGGACACGCAATCCACAACTATTTGTGGGACACTGCTGTGTGCAAGTGACTGCTGAGTTTTGCCCACAAAATATACAATCAATTTACTTTATAGTATATTCTGTGAAGTGCTTTGAGACGTCTCAAAGAAGTGATTAGGTGCTATAACAAATGTAAGGCTTAGTATTATTATATTAATGAGCAGGGAAGAAAGGAGTGAAATTCAAGAGTGCTGATCAAAGGTATGGTTTATATATAGGTCCACCTCATCCATCGTGGAATACACAACAACAACTTGCATTTATATAGTGCCTTTCACGCCGGATGGAGTCTCTTGGCGCTTTAAACTATTTTTTAGTTTACTACTTTTTAAGTTTGAGCGCTTACACTATTTCTCAAATATTTTTATGTAATAAAAGATGATTTTCCTAAATACAGTATATTGTTAAAGTGTCTAAATTCAAATAACCACTTCTGCTGGGGTTAAGTGATGCCCAACACAATCCTCTGCGATCCAATATTTACAAGGATCCTCCTCCTGGTTTCTCTTTAGCACCCTCCACTGGTTGTATGCACGTGTAGCAGCCACGTGGGCACAGGTCAGGCTCAGCTACAGTGACACCCTCTACAGTTGAGTGACCCAAACTCACTGCTAAAATTCACACGTGAATATGGGTCACTTGGGCAGGGTAACAGAAGACAAACCTGTCCCTAGGAACTACACCCCAGCAAGAACAGGCCAGACCAGGAGCAGAAAGACCTTATCATCAATGGAGGTTAATGGACATTAAAGGAGAGAAAATTAGAAAAAAATGAGACAAATTAAAAATGGGAAAAAAAAGCTTAAGAGAAATGTGTGGCTGAACGACAAGAGTATCCCTCAACCTACCTGTAGTCTAAGAGTCTAGTTTTGAACACCAGTGAGGAAGGACAGAAACTAATTAGAAGCAATCATCTTTCTTTTCACATTTCTAACAGGCATCGCAATGGCTAAAAAAAGTTTATTATTATTTGTAAGAATTTAATTATTTTGTAAGAATAATCAATATACTTTTCTTTTTTTAATCTTAATTCTTTCATTAAGGATTATTCCCCCTTGAATCATAAAATAGTCCAACTCTCAGGTCTGAGGCATAGAAAAATCGGGCAGCGGGTCACTTAAGTGAGCCTTCAGTTTAATTTTAGTTACTGAATTCTCTCCACTCACCCGTTTAGTAGAAGGGATTCGAAGGCAGTCTTCTTCCACTTCAAAGCCACAAACAGAACCCACTTCAATAATGAAATCAAGGTATTCTCTGTACTGTGTCTTTTTGGTTTGCCTACGGCAGTACTTTCCATAGAAATCAAAGAAGCAACAAGGCAGGACAAAATAGCGGCACTCATAGGACGATCTGTAGCACAAAAATCAAACAATTACCTTTTTCAATGTTTATCACTGTATTCAAGTAACACTGGGGGTTTAAGTTCTATATCACAACCTAAACTCGAAGTCCAGACTAACGCTCCAGCTCAGAACACACAGAACCCTGTGTTGTCAGAGGTAAGGTCCTCTGGATAAGATATTAAAAATCAAGCTCCTGTCACTCCTCTGTTCTTCAGGAGGACATTAAAGGTCTGATCACACTTAAAAAAGAGAAGGGAGTTTCTCCTTTGTCGTGGTCAAAAACTTGCAGATTAAGTTAGGAAATCATTTCACAGGGTTTGGGGGGCCAAGCTTACAGCAAAATAACTGCTATATTTGTCTACATAGTCACAATACTTGGCAGTAATTACAGTAAAGTTACATTTCAACATGGTAAAGCATTACAAAAATGCAAGTTCTTTCTTACTTTCAATATGTAAACAAATCAGTGAAAGTAGTCAAGACTATAGGACAACTTTGTTATAATGTAAAAAAAAGGCCAAATTTCAGATCGCCAGGTTGGCACTGACATCACTTCCTGCACATTGCACACATGCCTGCTATGTACATGAAATACTGCTGCCCTCACTTGCACATAACACACATGTGCATGACCTGATAACCTGCCATCAGGGGTCAAGCTGACACAAGCCCTATCGGGCTTTATAACAGGGTTGCTCTGTACTCTGCTGAGCTATCTGTAATTGTCAGGCAGTCAAACAACTCATGAAGTTTATGTTTTACGACCTTTAACATCAGAAGAACAACTTGCAATTATATAGTGCCCTTCACATGGGATAACGTCTTGCGTTTGACAGTGGCAGAGTCCAACAATGAGCCAGGGGGAGAGGGAGGGGGACGGTGACTGTATACATGATCATAAAGGAAGGTCTTTAGGTGGGATTTGAAGGTGGGGAGGGAGGGGCAAGGTGGAGGGATTGAGGGAGAGTTCCAGAGTTTCAGGGCATATTGGCTGAAGGCACGGCCACCGATAGTGGAGCGGAGGGTACGAGGGACAAACAGGAGCCAAACAGTATAGCTTCTATCTTGCCGATATTCAGCTGCAGGAAATTTGCGCTTTTCCAGGCCTTGATGTCCATCAAGCAAGCTGACAGGACATCAGCGGACTGGGAGTTGCAGCTGGAGGAGGAGAAGTAGATTTGGGTGTCATCTGCATACATGTGGAAGTTGCAATGGCCCAAAAACAACCACAAAGTGAATTACCAATTTCATTTGGACAATTATTGATCAGGAAGAAAATCTTTTCTCTTTTCAAAATTTTTTTTTAACATTTCACCTGAAGGTCAGTACCTTCAATTCAGTAAAGCTAAACAAGCTGTAGATAGCTGAATATTTCATCTAGTTAAAATTCAAATGATGAAAATAACCACATACCTTGCTGCAATAAGAGGTATCCATGGTGTCAACTCATCTGAATGGTTACCAATTATCCAGTCAACATCCGGAAACAGGTAGCTATCACTTGGGGTAATGGCATGTTCCTAGCAAAACAGCAGCACTTAATTTCATTATTTATGTATTCATTCACTCGCTCACAAGCCTGATTTGAAGCAAATCTCATAATCAAATCATCATTTCTAACTCTCCCCACCCCCTTTTCCTGCATGTTCCAAAAATGTACCTGGGTTATCAGGATTGCTATTTGTAAATGTACTCCTTTGATATTCCAAATGCAACTACAAAAAATAAATTGAACTATCATTTTTTTTGCTGGGCCTTCAACTGTCCTATGTCATGGAGACAAATGGAATGGATAATGCTCCATCATATCATCCCACTCAGTCTTTTTTGTTAAATCGTTATAAGATTCAATGTTAATCTGGATAATATGAAATAAAATCCCTTTGGCACCTTGTATCAACACTAAATCAGTTGCAGCACAAATTACTTACAGAATAAAGCTCCTCTACTCCTTAGAATCTGCATTATCCCAGAAAAGCACTCATTTGTGAATCGACCGACCATTCATATTTTTGCATAAAATATCCTTATGACTTAATTCAGCTTTCTATGAATTTGGAAGTACAGAACAACAGACTTGTTTCAAATTGGGTATTATCATGTGTGTGTTGTTAGCCATAACAAAGGATTTGGTGCATTTTTATAATGCAAGCTATGTCCATCAAAAATATAGCATATAGCATATGAAATGCAAGTGTTCTTAACCATTAGACAAAATTTCATTCCATTTGTCCTGCTAGGATGAAACCCAAATGGCATGCCTCAGATCCACTTGGTTTATACCATGCTACTGAGGTGCAGAAAGCTTATATGTATATATATGTATGACCTATTGGCAGAAAAAATAAACCATTGAAATAGCAAGTAAAAAATCATGTAAAACTTTGAACCTAGTGTACCTATAGGGTTATATATTAGCATGATATAAAATAGTTGGGCACTGAATCACATCTCTGTTACTTACCTCTAAATGTGTCTGTGGACCATACATATTCCAAATTTTGCGCTTCCTCACATCTATACCTCTACCAAGGTACTGGAAGGTAAGAAAAAGTAACTCACTGATAAGATGAATGTAAAATCAAGTAAAATAATAAAATAATAATCCTTGCATTTGATATAGCGCTTTTCACGTCTTCTAGAGTCTCAAAGTGCTTCACAGAATATGCTGCAAAGTGAATTGACCGTATATTTGTGGCGAAACGCGGCAGTGTCCCACAAACAGTCGTAAAATATTTCCAAAGCAGTAACTTTTTAAAGCAAGTCACAACTATTAGGCAAGAGATGGCAACAAAAACAACAAGATTGCATTTATAGAGCGCTTTTCACGTCGGGAGGACGTCCCAAGGCGCTGGACAGTTGGGTCGGGACCCGAGCACGGGGGAAATGGTCAGGGTGAGGGGAGGGAAGGGAGGGAGCGAGGAGGGAGTAGAGAGTCGAGAGGGGAGCTGAAGGCACGGTTGAAGAGAACGGTCTTAAAGGAGGAAAGGAAGCAAGGCAAAGGCACTGGGGATGGAGTTCCAGAGCCTTGGGGCTGAGAGGCTGAAAGTCCGGCCACCGATGGTAGGGCGGTTAGGGCGGGGGATGTGGAGCAGACTGGAGCCAGAGGAACGGAGGGTACGGGCAGGTACGTAGGGGGATAGTAGGTCGGAGAGGTAGGAGGGTGCAAGGCCTTGAATGGCCTTGTAGATGAGGGTGAGGATCTTGAATTCGATCCTCTGGGGGATGGGGAGCCATTGTTCTGTTAATTTCGCCCACAAAACATATAGCCAATTCATTTTACAGTATATTCTGTGAAGCTCTTTGAGACGTCTAGAAGACGTGATATAAAGGACTGCACTGTATAAAGTGTTAGCCTGACTCAGTTGGCAGCACTCTTGTCTGATTGTGGGTTAAGCCTAGGCTAACATTCCATTGCAGTACTGGGGAAGCACTATATTGTCAGAGGTGCTGGGCTTTGGATGAGATGTCAAACTGGTCCTACCTGACCTCAGGGAACTTTTTCCTGTTTCATGGCCAAAAATCCCCTATGTAAAATTCATCATTCGTCATGGCTGTTTTGGGGACATTGTTGTATGCAAATTGGCTCTGTAGTCACAACCAATGCACAATCTCTACAGAAAACTATATATTGCTTTGAGATGCAACTGGATAAGGCTATCAAATATTTAAGATTTTATAAAAAAACATATCATTCTTCACTGTTATGCTTCTGCCCTCTGCCACTTTATAACCTGTCATTAAGGAGATACAAGTGATAGAGACCTGAGTGATTCACACTTTGATTTCAAAACCAAGTAACTCTTCATTTCCCTCAGTCTCTCTTTCCCCTTATAACATATAGACTTTTTAAAACCCACGCTTTGTATTAACAAAGCACCGCTTCTTCTAGCTCAGATATGAAACACTAACATTTATGCCCAGCAGAATGTGGAGCTAGGCATGTAAATGAACCATGTAAAACATAGTAAGGGGTAGGTTGGAGAAAGGAAAATAAATCATGGCTCAAATATTACATTTATCAGATTTACCTCAATGAAAACTAGATCTGGTGCTGAAGTGTCACATCTTTCTGAAATCATATGCAATCAATGCTCTCTGCTCAGAAATCCTACAGTGAATTAGGAATTCCATCACAACATCAGTAATGCTGCTGTACTACATTATTTCAGCAAGATCTAAGTTTCTGTCAGCTCACCCCTTCATTGCTCAGGATGTGAACAAGCAATCCATTTCCACATCCCAAATCTATAAAGGACTGTTTAACAGCCAAGTCTTTCTCTGCACGTTCATCTTCCCAGAGAACCTGCAAGACATTTAGACAAAATATAGATAAGGCTTCATGTGTCATGGTAAAAAAAAGTTATTTCACTTTTATGAGGAAAATTAAAGAGTATTAATATAACATTTATAACATAAAAACCTCCTAATGCTGTTTTATACAGATCACACAATGCATGAAATATGCCATGGCTATTTGGCCTATTGAATCAGTTTCTTCCATAGTCCACACACAATGCTCCATCAACAAATCTAATCTACTGACAAACTTTTTTTTAAACATCTCTTCCTCTCCACCCACCACCCTGAAGAAAACACAAGTACAATTCTAAAATACCTAGATTTTAGAAAATATTTCAGGAGCTTCATTTATGCCTGTGTATATATAGTATATATTAATGTTATGATACATCTATTAAAGTTAATGTTACATCTATTAAAATGTCCATTTTCATGATCATGAAAATCACTATTCACAACACAAAAGTTAAAATATACATGTGAAAATTAGTCATGAACTGCAATTGAGCCCAAAATTGCAGTATTACATTTTGATCCTTAATTAAGGACCGAGGGTAAATTGTATTTTGAATTCCCTCCTGATTTCTGAATATGATGGTGCTATGCACAGTGACAAAGTTGTAAGCTAGCATCTTAGTTTCCTACTTAGTGAGGTTGCTGCTTTAGAAATGAAGAAACTTTCACAAGAGCTTTATTATCCTGGTAGTTTAACATATGGTTATCAACATCCCTTGGGGCTTAACTCTTAACTGCTTAAGTGCTTTCTTATATTCTTAAAAAAGGATATGCAATTTTCTCCCACAGAGAAAATTGCCTCATGAATACTAAACGTTATGAATGATATTAACATGAAGTCTACCAAAATGTTGAAAATACCTGATGAGCTCTCTTGCATACAATACTATTATGGTTTAGTTTGTTAGATCAGGGAAGCTTTGCAGCTTTTTTTTTCTTTTTACCATCATAAATAGATTGCAAATAAATAACTACCAATAAGTATGTTGCAATGGCGACATCCTCATAAACAAACTTTTCAGGATCCGTAACTTCTGGCCAAACCTGTTGAAAATGAAATGGCAATGACAGATATTAAATTAATCTAAAGTGGAAACAGACACATAAATGAGAGAAGGGAAAACATGGTTATGGGAGAGGGGTTTAGAGGTGGGAGGCTGGTGTGGAGTATAAATACACATGGACATGTTGGGCAAAATGGCTTGTTTCCTTGGTGAAACATTCTATGTAAAGATGAGAATAGAAGATTGGCTTGCACCATATTCACACCCATGTCTTGGAAATTTTCAAAATATTATAGTATTTTTGACACACTTTACATTCAAGTTCTTTAAACAAAATTCTCACAATAACTGAATTCAACCTAACCCAAAATTGTTAAATATGCAAGATTAGATTCTATTAGACATGTTTTAAACATTTCAAGAGGAGTAAAACTTGAACATTTGTTATATGTGTTCCGAGACACTATCCCGCATGAAGGGTGCTACATAAATTCAAGTTGTTCTTGTTGCACATGAACAATAATGCATTTAATAGCAAATCACAGTGTTAAAATCTTGGCTTCAGTAAGGTATCTTAAATAGCATCTGTATGATGTAGGTCATGACAACAAACAGAAGATCCTGGGTATTCAGAATTCAAACCGAGCTAGACTGGGCCCAAAACTAAATTGTTTTTTAAAAATCCACAGCTTGCGGACTCCCAACTCCTAATTCTCCTACTGAACCTGGCTGGCCTTCACAGTGCCCAGAGACATCGACTTTGACTCAAGATTGTTTGAATCTCGATACCTTATTCGCTACCTTTTGCTCACAGGATTAAAACAATTACAATGCTACTACTGGCAATTACCAACATTTAAAAAAAAAGCCACTAAATGCCGGTACCTCATTGTAATAACACTTAGCCGGAATTCCAGTTTGCCGGATTGGATCTCCCCTCTATCAGTCCAGCTAGCCAGGGTTTAAGTATACAGTACTTAGCTATGTGTCACTTAGTTGTACAATAACACATTGATCTGCATTCTCTGTAAGATTTTTCAAACATTGGTAGGAGGGTGGCAGGAAGAGAGGAAGGCAAATTACAATTATTGTATTAGCAAATTAACAGACATTCTACTCCCCTAGACTCTTAAGATGATTAATTTTCTACTAAAGAGCTGGAATGTAAACTCACACCCAGTTCCCCACGTGGGAAAGTTCATGATCTTGGCTGAACTCACAGGAGGAATCAGAAATTTAGAAATAAATTCATGCCCCCAAACGCAGTTCTCACTCAACATCCTGACAGCCAATTAAAGAGTGGAGGGGCCCAGGAGCAGAATTTGCTAACTCAGTGAATATTGTGTGGTACAAGACAACCAGTTACATTTATACAGCACCTTTCATGTGTAAAGGATGTATGAAAGTGCTTCACAAAACTGACTGAAAGCCTAAGCTGGGTTTTAGGTGGGGAGGAGGGAGAGTGGAGTTGACAAGGGGAAGGGAAAACATACACAAAAACACAATTGAAGCACTGGGTTTTAAGGCACAGGTTGAAGACAGAGATACAAGGCACAAGGTATGGGAACTCCAGGATGGAGTTCCAGAGACTGAGGTAGAGGCTGAAAGTTCATCTATTGATGATGGGGGGAGGGGACATGAAGCAGACTGGTGTTTGCTGAATGGTGGGAATTGCTGTAGCAGAAGGGTAGTACAGTAGGAGGGTGGGTGGAGCAACACTATAGAGACATTTGAATGATAATGACAAAAAGTTCAGTAAAAATAAAACTGATTATGATTCTCAGAATTGTACCTTGACCATTTCTTTGTATTTCTCTTTCAGTTGGTGATAACGTTCGCTATATTTTTCCAGAGAAATTAGAGAGAGAGTGCTCTTATAAATGCTCTTTTTGTTCTCCGTGGACCATTTCACAATTTTTGAAAGTAATACATCTGTGAGCCATGCTGTTTTGGGGTACAAAATCCCATCTGATTCCCATTGTTCAGGGCACAATATAGAAATTGAAACAGACCTTTAAGACATAGTTTTTAAAAAAAGTTAAAGCTCAGAAAAATCAATCTCCAGATTAATGGGGATCCATCTTATTCTAAAATACATGGTTCTGAATACGAAATGATCAAATCATCTTCAACAATACAGACTCATTAGAATTGCAGATTACAGACAAAATTACAGATGACTAGAAGATCTACCGTCAGCTTTATTCTTTTAGTTTGTTTCAAAAATTATTTCCTCACTTTGCAAATCTTACATCAATCATACAGATATGCTTTTCCCAGCTCTTTGCTAATGGCATTTTACAACTGCTTGTTAATGGGCTTCAATGTTAACACTAATTTCAATTTCTGGCCACTAAATTTTTTTTATGCTTCTTCATACCTAGGGCTGGTAGAAATCTTTTTTATTTTAGCGGATAATAGACCATTGGAACTCTATTTTCATGTACTTTGTAAAAGCAGTTTTGTTTATAGTACAATTGGAGTTTAGACTGACCCCAAAAATACCAAATGCGCACACGTAGCCACATGGCTGATTGCTAAATGCTGGCTGGCTTCTCATGCTCCACGTAACCTCCGGCCCATGAGGTCACCATAACGTCATTTCCTGAACATGCCAGCCCCCTTTTGGCACGTATACATAGCGAAAGAGGTGCTGACAGACAATTGTGCTCTGTTATAACGCTGGTTAGGATTCATATGGACCCCAACTACCATATTATAACAGGCTTATCTACTGTATTTGTAAAACAGTTTTGACCCCACTGCATATCTTTTCTAAGCTTCCAGCTGAGTTTTAATAGCAAAAAATAACTAATATCAATTTTTACTCATTTTTAATCAAATCCAGGCAACCATATTCATACAACACATGAAGTTCTACCTGGCTGACGACTCACCATAATGCTTCATCTTCTTCAACACAGCAAAGTTTAAATCTGTAAACGTTGCTTTTCTTGAACGCACAACTTTCTTCATCATGCTCATCAACTGGTATAAATGTGGCAGTGTTGTTTGCAAAATCTGCAAACGACATAGGAGCAGTATTATTATTTTAAAGTTATTTAAGATTGAAATCAGGAGCAGCAATCATAATTCAAGTAGTCCCTAATCTACAGAAATTTAAATGGACTGACTAGGTGGCACATGTGCATAAACTTCCTATGTATTATTGTGATTTAACACTGAATACTAGTACGAGTTGCGTGTGAAATGTGTTTGGCCAATCATAGCATGGTTCACAATGGACATGGAGGCACAACACAAATAATTTTTGCAATAAACAACGTAATCCTACTGAACTCAAAATGCTGCCTTTTTTCTAGGTTTATGTCCACCTGGCAGGAAAAAAAAGTAACAAACCAACTGTGCTGTGCATTACCTGGAAATCAACTGAAAAGTTTAATTTCCCAGAATTGTCCAGTGTTTGACATTTTCTGCTGGATCACTCCAATTTCATAAGATGTTTAATAATAATAAATAATCCTGGCATTTGATATAGGCCCTTATCACGTCTATGAGACGTTTCAAAGCTCTTTGCAGAATATACTGTAAAGTGAATTGACTATATTTTGTGGGTGATGTTTAATTTCATAGTAATTTTTTAAAAAGTTTAGAGGTTCCAGGATTACCAAGAATTGCATTTTTTAAAAAAAAACTTCTATAGGCTAGAAGTTTTATTTAAAAATCTACACTTATACATACTGTATAAATATGATCAAATTTCAAAATGTGTTTCTATATTGACTGTTCTGTCATGTTAGGTGTACTACTCAATTTATGATTCATCCCCAGAATCTCTTTGCCTTACGCCCTCCCTCCCCACCTTCAAAAAAACCTTTCTGACCATGATCACCTTGAGATTTTCCTTTTGAATTGAAATAAATTAAATTGCATTTGATATAAAGCTTCAAGTCAGGAGGATGTCTCAGAAGTGCTTCACAGGATTCACTGTAAGTGCTTTGACTGTATTTTGTAGATAAACACAGCATTCAATTTGCACACGGCAATGACCCACAAAGAGCCAAGATATAAATAACCGAATTTGTATGTGGATTGTTGGTCAGAAGACCGGGAGAAAATCCCTTCTCTTTTCAAGTAGTGCCATGGTGTCTTTAATGTCCACCTGAATCGGGAAAGGTACTTAAATTTAACATCTCATCTGAAGGGCATCAATCAAACAATGCAGCACAATTCCAGCACTGGTGTCAGCTTAAACTGTGAGCTCAAAGTGCCAACATGGTGCTTGAACTCACAATCTTCTGACTCCGAGGTGGGAGTGCTAGCGACTGATCGAGATTGAAACGCTCCCCTGACCTGCAAAAAGAAGTCAGTCAGGTGAAGTCATTTGAGACGTTCCTCTGGTATACAACAATATGCAATTATATAGCACATTTCACACCAGGTTGTGCCTCTGAGCATTTAACAGCATTGAGGTTTCACACCAAGCTGCAAAAAAAAGGATCGGGGGGGGGGGGGGGGTTGACCGAAGGCATGGTCCAAGACAAAAGTCTTCAACATGATTTGAAGACAGGCAGCAAAACAGAGAAATTCAGGGCAGTGTGGCTGAGAGCACGGCCGCCGATAGCGGAGCGGAGGGGACGAAGGGACGTCACTCCCCAGGCTCCTCGGTGCCTCCCGCGCTCCCTGTCATCCTCCACACTGCCTGTGTGTCCCCCACTGCCTCTGGGAGCCCAACTGACTGAAGATGCCGTTGGGTGTGGTGTGGGTTGTGAGCAGGTCAGAGAGGTGGAAGCCAGAAGCCAAGGGATCCATCTGCATGTGGGCGTGAGAGTAATAATAATAATAATAATAACCCTTGCATTTGATTATAGCGCCTTAGCACGTCTTCGAGACGTCTCAAAGCGCTTCACAGAATATTTGTGGAGTCCTGTAGCTCAGTGGTTAGAGCACTCGCTTTGCAAGTGAGAGACCTGAGTTCAATTCCAGGCAGAGGGCGAGACCTTGGGCAAGTTTCCTTACTCCACACAGAGCCTAATAATAATCCTCCAAAACAAAACAATAATAAATTGGTCATTTTCAATCCACGACTGTTTGTGGGACATTGCTGTGCGCAATTGGCTGCCGCGTTTGCCCACAAATATACAGTCAATTTACTTTACAGTGTGTTCTGTGAAGCGCTTTGGGACGTCCTCCCGACGTGAAAAGCGCTATATCAAATGCGAGGATTATTATTATTATTATTATACTGTAAAGAGCGGGTGGAGCGGGGCCGGGACCGGGGCTCTTGAATGACTGAGATGACTCGGTGTGATCTGCTCACAACCCACCTCTGAGCACGACCTCTCGGGCTGCGCTGCCCGGCCCGGCCCCGGCCCCGGACCCTCGCCCTTTAGCCATCACCGTCCTGAGGATGGCGCTGACCTGACCCGCCGCCGCCGCCGCCTCCTCCTCGCCAGGGCCTCGGAGGCCGGTCAGGACCGTCTCCAGCTCCCGCTCCAGCTCGGGGCCAGACCCTCGGCGGCACAGAGTCGGCAGCAAGTCCAGGAGGAGCCGCCCGACCCCCGGCCTCTCCCCCGAGCCCAGACCCGGGCCCCGGCCGCTCGCTCTCTCCCCGTCCACACGGCAGCCCCACAGGCGGCGGTTGACCACCTGCGGCTTCAGAGTCCACACGTCGAGCGCCGACCAGAAAGCGGCGGCCACGGCGGCTCCCGAGCCCGAGCCCGGGCCCGGCCTGAGCCGCAGCTCCGCCGCCAGCGCCGGTCTGGCCCTCTCCGCCGCCGCCAGCGCCGGGTCTCCCGGTCACACACCTGCCGAAGGTGCTGGAAATGACACGACAGGATTGTAGCCCAAAAGTCGCCCAAACACGAGCGTAATATCACGTGTCGCCTCCTAACGGGGGGTTTTGCTAGAAATTACAATACAATTTATAGCCCAAAGTCCGGGCCCCAAAGTAGCCCCACATTCAGTGCCGCCGCCGCCGCCGCACCAAAAAAAGGGTTTTGCTAGAAATTACGACGTGCAGCCAAACGCCAGCCCAAAAAGTAGCCCAAAACTATGCGTCGCCTCCGATCGAGTGCGCCAGAAATTGCGATTTGTCGCCCAAAAGTAGCCCAATGTCAGGCGTCGCCTCCCTGTGGCCGGCGGCAGAGTTGCCCGATTTAGGGTCAATGCGTTTCGAAACCGGTAAGAGAAGCTCTTCGGATGAAGGGGGTGCGGGCGGGGGGACTACAAACAAACAAATTAAAATGTGTTGCGGGTTTCCATTTTTTTAATAAAAAAATGAGGCGCCCGCCCGGCCCAGTCCAGCACACCGAGCAGCAGCAGCGACGGCTGAGACCCCGCCCACATTGGAGCGTCTGCCGGGCGCACGGTTTAGTGCGTCACCGAGCGGAGGCTGGCGCGCCCTGATGACGTCATACCGTCCCTGGCCGCCAGCACAGGCGCGAGCAGCTGTGACGTTCACACGGTAATGACTTGTTGCGGTTAACGGGTTACGAATTATTTGCACTTAATGTGTTGCGCAACTCTTACAGTGAACTCACCCGCGGGTCTGTTTGTGGGGAGAAGACCCCGCGGGTCTGTGGGGGGGGGTCTCTGTCCCCATAAACAGCGGCCACGACCCCACAGCTTTAATGGTCTTCTCCCCACAGGTCATTCTCCAGAACAAACACAATCCCAACGTCCAACTGTCCCCTCTGTCGCCACCTCCGCCATTGCCTCCTCCACCTCCGCCACCTCCTCCTGCCTCCTCCTCCGCCATGCTTCCTCCTGCCTCCTCCTGCCGCCACCTCCACCATTGCCTCCTCCACCTCCTCCTCCTCCTGTCGCCACCTCCACCATTGCCTCCGCCACCTCCGCCATTGCCTCCTCCTGTCGCCACCTCCGCCATTGCCTCCTCCACCTCCGCCACCACCTCCTGCCGCCACCTCCGCCACCTCCTCCTGCCGCCTCCTCCTGCCTCCTCCTCCGCCATGCTTCCTCCTGCCTCCTCCTGCCGCCACCTCCGCCATTGCCTCCTCCTGCCTCCTCCTGCCGCCACCTCCGCCATGCCTCCTCCTGCCTCCTCCTGCCGCCACCTCCGCCATGCCTCCTCCTGCCTCCTCTGCCATGCTTCCTCCTGCCTCCTCCTCCGCCATGCCTCCTCCTGCCTCCTCCTGCCACCACCTCCACCTGCCTCCTCCTGCCACCGCCTCCACCTGCCTCCTCCTGCCTCCTCCTGCCGCCACCTCCCCCCATGCCTCCTCCTGCCGCCACCTCCCCCCATGCCTCCTCCTGCTGCCACCTCCCCCCATGCCTCCTCCTGCCGCCACCTCCCCCATGCCTCCTCCTGCCGCCACCTCCCCCCATGCCTCCTCCTGCCGCCACCTCCCCCCATGCCTCCTCCTGCCGCCACCTCCCCCATGCCTCCTCCTGCCGCCACCTCCCCCATGCCTCCTCCTGCCGCCACCTCCCCCCATGCCTCCTCCAGCCGCCACCTCCCCCATGCCTCCTCCTGCCGCCACCTCCCCCCATGCCTCCTCCTGCCGCCACCTCCCCCATGCTTCCTCCTGCCGCCACCTCCCCCCATGCCTCCTCCTGCCGCCACCTCCCCCCATGCCTCCTCCTGCCGCCACCTCCCCCATGCCTCCTCCTGCCGCCACCTCCCCCATGGCTCCTCCTGCCGCCACCTCCCCCATGCCTCCTCCTGCCGCCACCTCCCCCCATGCTTCCTCCTGCCGCCACCTCCCCCCATGCCTCCTCCTGCCGCCACCTCCCCCCATGCCTCCTCCTGCCGCCACCTCCACCTGCCTCCTCCTGCCGCCACCTCCCCCCATGCCTCCTCCTGCCGCTACCTCCCCCCATGCCTCCTCCTGCCGCCACCTCCCCCCATGCCTCCTCCTGCCGCCACCTCCGCCATGCCTCCTCCTGCCGCCACCTCCGCCATGCCTCCTCCTGCCGCTACCTCCCCCCATGCTTCCTCCTGCCACCACCTCCACCATGCCTCCTCCTGCCGCCACCTCCGCCATGCCTCCTCCAGCCTCACCTCCCCCCATACCAAGTTGAAAGAAGTCTCAGACTTCTTTGTCTCTAACACAGATAACATCCGCCTGGATGCTGCTTCCTCCTCCTCCTCCTCTCATGTTGCATACCCGCCTGAAGACCTTCCCTTGCCCCCTCCCCGCCTTCAGATCCCGCCTAAAGACCTTCCTTTTTGATCCTGCTTACGGTCACCTCCCTCCACCTGGCTGATTGTCAGATTCAACAACTGTGAAGTGTTCCGGGACACTACCCTGCGTGAAGGGTGCTATATAAATGCAAAGTGTTGTTGTTGTTGCCCCCTTTATCGTTTCACAACCAGCCTTATGATCTGTTGTCGATTGCTGTCAGTCTCAGTCAAGGTCACATGATTTGTCATACGTGGACAAAATCTATTTGGACAATGCTCACAAATGACTTGTGAGCGTTATCCAGTAACAAATTCAGCAAAGTGATAGACTGGTTATAGCTACCTTATCTGTAAAGAATTCATAAAAACTATTATGAACTATAAATATTTTTACAATTCGCTTATTTACAATTTTATTTTATGAATTTATGAAAACAATGTCAGCTAAATCAGCACAGGGTTAAAGTAGGAAACCGTAACATTCATTTATCCACTGACTCTTTTATGCAGCCCTTGATTTGTATTATTTCAATAGGAATTCCAGACACCTAAAATAATTATTAAGTAATGGTAAATGTTGAGATTTGTAAAATTAATTTTGCTGGAGAATTACATTAACTTAAAGGATCTGGGTTCTATAAAGTAAATCCCTAATTTTTAAAGGTTTTACAGTGGCTGATTTTGATAAAGTAAAATAGTAAATATTAAAAATAATTATCCACCATCACATTCAGCCTGGCTCAGTTCATAGCACTCTTTCCTCTGAGTCAGAAGTTTGTGAGTTTGAGCCCTATGTTGGGACTTGGAATTCATATAGTCTAAGATGACATTCCATTGCAGTGCTGCGGTGTTGGAGGTGCTGTCCTTCAGCAACAACAACACAACTACATTTGTATCGCGCTTTTCACATCGGGAGGATCTCCCAAGGTGCTGGACAATCAGTGTTTCGTACCCGAGATGGAATCAGGGGCGCTGGACAATAAATGTTTCAGACCCAAGCTGGGGATTGGGGAGGGTGGAGGGCAGGGGGGGATGAAAGGTGACCGAAGACATGGTCAAAGAGGAGGGGCTTGAGATGGGTCTTGAAGGAGGGAAGGGAGGGGACAAGGCATAGGGACTGAGGGATGGAGTTCCAGAGGGTGGGGGCAGAGTGGCTGAAGGCCCACCTGCCAATGGTGGCGCGGGCGAGGCAGGGGGCGTGAAGCAGGCTGGAGGCCGCTGAGTGGAGGGAGCATGCAGGTTGGTAGGGCGTTAGGAGGTTACAGAACTAGGGAGGAGCAAGGCCATGGAGGGCTTTGAAATTGAGGACCAACAACTGCAACAAGATTACATCTGTATAGCGCCTTTCACGTCGGAAGGACGTCCCAAGGCGCTGACCAGTATCTTGAACTGTATCCTCTGTGTGATGGGAAGCCAGTGGAGTCGGACGAGGATGGGGAGGTAGGGTCGCAGAGCCTGGTGTGGGAGAGGACACGGGCTGCAAAGTTCTGGATGATCTACAATTTATGGAGAGAGGAGTTGAGGAGGCTGACAAGTTTGTGTAGTCGAGTCTGAATGTTATGAACGCTTGTATGAGGATCTCGGCGGCCTGTGGTGTGAAACGAGTGATGTTGCAGAGGTGGGAAAAGGTGGAGCAGGTCATGGCATGGATGTGGAGTATGAAGGATAGCTGAGGGTCAAACAGGACGCCAAGGTTCCGTATTGGCTCCGTGAGATGTAGTGTACATCCATGGAGGGAGATGCTATCGGCGCCCGAGGTATGGAGGTGCAGATGGGAGCCAGGCAGGAGGGCTTTGGCGTTGTTGACATTCAACTGCGGGAAGTTAGCTCTTATCCAGGACTTGATGTCTGACAGGCAGTCTGTGAGGACAGTTGTGGTCCTGCAATCAAGGATGGAGGCAGAGAGGTAGAATTGGGTGTGATCTACATACATGTGGGAGTTGACCCCATGTCTGGGGATGTCACCAATATAGATATTGAAAAGGAGAGGGTCAAGGACAAATCCCTGAGGGACACCACACGTGACGGTGCGGGGGCTGGAGGAGAAGCCGTTAGTGGCAACAAAGTCTAGGTGGTGGGAGAGGTAGAATTTGAACCAGGCAAGGGCACGTCCGCGAAGATTGAGCTGAGAGGAGAGGCGGTGTAGGAGGATAGAGTGGTGGTCGACAGTGTCAAAGGCAGCAGAGAGGTTGAGGAGGACAGGAGGCAGAGAGAGTCCTGGTCGCAGATGTTCGGAATGTCATTGGTAACTTTGACCGATTGGAGAGGTTCAGAGAGGGAATGTCGGATTAGGAAAGAGCAAAGCAGGGACACAACGACTCGTTCCAGGGCCTTGGAGAGGATTGGGAGGTTGGAGATAAACCAATAGCTGGAGAGTAGGGATGGTCCAGGGAAGGTTTTTTGAGGATGGGGATGATGACAGCTATTTTTAGGGGGTGGGAACAATGCCAATGGATAAGGAGAGATTGATAATGTTGGTTAGGAGAGGGGCCAGGAGGTGGAGCTGGGAGGTGAGGAGAGGGGTGGGGTCGATGGAGTAGGTGGTGGACTTCATTTTTGAAATGATGGAGGTGAGGGATGTTAAAAATGTCTGCCTGTTCAGGTGGATGTTAAAGATCCCATGGCGCTACTCGAAAAGAGAAGGATGTTTCTCCCAGTGTCCCGGCCAACAATTCCACAAATAAATTTGACATTGTTGTGCGCAAATTGATTGCCATATTCTCCCACAAAACAGTAACTGCAAACTATATCCTATGAAGCACTCTGGGATGTCCAGCTGACGTGAAAGGTGCTATATCGAATGTAAGGATAAATATTATTATTTCAGGTGTAAAATTTCTTACAAACGCTCTGAACTTCTTATTGTATTTAAACTTCAATCTGTGCCACAATATATAAATGCATGGAAAGGGAGTGCTGTTCACAAAGAAGGCTAGTAATGATTTTTAGAGGCATATTTCCACCTCCCACATCCCAGTTTGATGTAAAGTGGTATTAGACGAGTAATATTATTTTGAGCTTTGCAGTAAGTGGAGTTACAAATTAGATTTACTATTGCAATATGCAGTCGATTTAACACTGTTGAAATTGATAATTTTATTTAAAAAAACACAATTTATTGAATAAAGTAGATTTTTGCCTCAGGGATCATTTAAATGCAGATATCGCAGCAACTCTATTTAAACACCCTTTGGTGGACCGAAATTGGAAACTTCATTCAGCTTTTTCATATGTTAATTTGGGCTGCAAACTTTTGTTCAAATTAACTACAATGCCTTGTAAGGCAGCACAAACTTATTACCCAGAAAACCATAGATCTTCCCAAATCTGTTATGAGAGACATCCCAATGAGATTATGCCACGCAATCATACTTTCTACTAAAATTGAATACATGTACAACTGTTCTTTGGGGTCATTAAACAAATATTTATTTTAAAGAGCCTCTCACCTTAGGGGATAGCTTTGCTGATGTATATCTTGAACAGTTTTACATCAATTTTGTTGCACAACATTGCAACCATAACTTTATGGCTGTCTTTATCCCCGTTTGGTCCATAGTGTTAGTGCTGATGCTTTGAAAGAGCAATCCATTCAGTCCCATTTACCTGTCTATTCCACACACACACTGCAAATTATTTATTTTTAGATATCTATAAAAACTAACATGGATCTTGCCTTGACCATTGTACCGGGCATGGCATTCCACATCCTAACAACTCTATGTAAATAATTTTTCTGCATAAATCTTGTGCTGCACAGTTATCCGAGCAAATGCTCTGAGATGTTGCCTGTGTGAAGGGTGATATATACAAATATAATACAAAATGACATTTGTAAACTACCTTTCACATACAAGGGAAGTATCACGGGAGGATGTCCAAAGGCGCTGCGTGCAAGTTGTTGTTTTTGTTGCTCTTTGATGTTGAAATTGATGCTCTTGTCAGTGGCAGACTGGTTCCCAAAAGGGCTCAGGCCTGTCAAGTAAAATGGGAGCACCGATGTGTGAAGGGCTGTGCAAAAACACATAGAGCATGTTTAAAAACCTTGTCGGGCTGGGTGCCCAGGGTGGTAAGATTTGGGAGCCTTTCACGGAGGTGCTCAGGAATCATTTACTCCCGCCCCTGCCTCCAGTCTCTGACTCACTGACCAGTGGAAATAATTTCTTCCTATCGCCTATCAAAACGCTATTTACCTTAGGAAGACTAATCAGGTACATAATACTCTTATTAGACTGTCACTTGCACTGGTATTCGTTTGTTGCTATTCTACCTGCATTCCAATGATGGGTCAGTTAGACTAATTTTCACCTCTTGATTGAATGGCATGTGTCCTGCAACATACAAAATGTCTAGGTTTAGTTTGTTAATGGTGCAACTTGGAAAAAATAGTACTTAGTTTTTTTAGATTCAGGTCATGAATGATGTATTATTGTTTGTGCCTTCTATTTTAACAACAGTTTTTTTNAATGTTTTCGGAACATTATTTACAAATCTTAATTGTGTTACTGTAGATTGAGGTGTCTCAGATGCAGAAATGAGTACAATCCATTCCGAGGAAAATATCTTGGATTCGCTGCTGCCTGATTTTCCCAATGGTCCATTGGATTTATATCGGAAGAAAGCTTCCTTTAATTGGAAGGAACTTGCCCTGTTTTGGGATGGGAAGGAGATTATAAACATCAAGGTAAGATGGTCCCAGTGAAAATGCTGAGCAGACCAGCTTGTATGCCTTTTAAACTTTACTTTCAATAGTTTGAAAAATATCAGGTGGTTATTTATGTTGTCATTTCAACCTATAATGATTGATAATATCTATCTCATTGGCTATTTTCAATTATTTTAATAGCACTCTTATACAGTGTCATGTAAATATATTGAACACAAACACACAGCTCTGTCTTCCGAAACTCAATTATTTAAAAAAAAATCACAATCTAGTTCAGGCACTCACTAGTTCCAGATTATTAACATTTTATTTATAGTGCAGATTAATCAGGGAGGTTATAGATTAGAATTGTATAATTACAGTTCAGGACGATGCCATGTGGCCCATCAAATTTAAGATAGTGCTAGCTCATCCATTGGAGCAAACTATGTGACCCAATTTCCTATTCTTTCCCCAAATTTTACCTGGTTTTAGCCTTAAGGCAAGTTTCTTAAAGATCAAAATCATGCATAATTTTGTAAAATTTGTATTCGGTCTTAATTTTGAAACGGGTATTTTTAAGAACTGGAAAACTGGCATCAGAATTGTGGCTGAATATATGAATTAAACAACCAGATTATATCTGAATCTTATCAAAGTACAATGGGTGCAGTCACTGGAAGTCAGACAGCCATGCTCCAATTATACTGGCAGAAACAGAACAGCTTTGACAGTGATGGGCAGTTGGAAGCCTGATTGACTTCACTCTCAATTGGAGCAAGGAAAAATAGAATACACAGTTCTGGTGTAACGCACATGTGCACAAGTGTGGCACTGTACAGATGGTCCAAATGGGAGATTGGCTTTTAAAGTTCATAAAGAGCCCAGCACTCAGTGGAAGCTTTAATAATAATTTCACATAGGTATGCACCTACACATGGAAATTTCTCTTTGTCTGGAATGTGCACTCTCTCCCTGGAGTATGCATCCTGCTTACCTAATTCCGGAGAGCATAGGGGCAAGACCGAAGCTTGGGGACACCAGTGTATGCATTTGGGTACTGCTGGTGTTTAACCAGCTAAAACCACGCAGCTTGCCATTAAAAGTACTGTGGCAATCTTTCCTGCTGCTATTCCAGCTAAAACCAATCTACCAGCTAAACCTTTGGCCTGCAGGGTGAATAGGAGTTGAGTTGGAAGAATGAGCCAGGCTGGTCTGTTATTAGCAGTGCTGGTCCTGCCTGACTCAGGAACCAGACCACTGAGACCACCATAGAGGATTAACTCAATTTTGACATTTCGTTGCCAAGCTTGTTCCCTTGGAACCCGCTTACTTCACCCCCAGTAACTTGATGGCCATTTTGATATCTGACAAGCACAGGTTTGAGCCTACACAAAGGCAGTAGGAATTCCCTGCCAGCTTCCTGGTGAGCAGCACAGCTCAGCATAAAATGCGTGAGAGCACTGTCACAATCTTCTTGCCAACAGCTCAAGATACTTCCCTCCCCATTGAGCAACCATAAAACCAGACTCCAATAACACCTTCCAGTGGCTGTCTACCCAAGCCTCCGAGCTTCCTTACCGGCTATTCAATAGACCTTTAGCTTGGTAGAATGATCTTTACAGGACAAATTTTGACATGCCACCCACCTTGATGTTTTAGAGAGTTGAATGCAATGCGTAACATTTACAATTGTTACAACACGTAACATGTAGGCACAAGACTCATATTTTGCCAGGCAGGGCGAAACGTTAGGCAAGTTTCCACAACCCGGTTATTAATCGACTGGTGGATCGCTTTTCCGGGGGTAATAATTCCTTCAAAAAAATTAAATAATTTGGTCTTTAAACCATGACTGTTTGTGAGACACTGCTGTGCCAATTGGCTGCTGCGATTTGCCCACAAAATATACAGTCAATTCACTTTATAGTATATTCTGTGAAGCTCTTTGAGACTCTCGAAGATGTGATGAGGCACTGTATCAAATGCAAGGATTATTATTATTTTTAAAGTAGCTTTTAACACAAATACCTCTTATTGAAGTCAAAATTCAGTCTGTCTCCTCATGACTGATTTTATCCTTTGCTACCTGGAATTGCCATTAGTATGGTTATATTCATGTTTTTTTAATACAGACCAAAATCTCATGCAATTTATGACAGCGATGAAGAATGCCCATTATTGCTAAATAATCAAGATCTTAAGGTGGGTAAGGCATTACAGGTGTTCTTGTTCTTTGATAAATAATTATTGACTTTTATTGTATCAACAGAAACATGTATTTAAAACCATGGAAAATGATCCAGTCTTTGCTCGCCAGCCTGGGGAAGACCTAACCCTGGAAAAGCAGCGGGAGCTGACTTTCCTTCGCTGCAGACGACTGTTTGAATATGACATCTTAACATTGGAAGAAGCTATGCAGAACCCTCTTCAGGCTGTAGCAATAAGTGACTGTTTCGGCATGTATGATTGGTCTCTATCTGTTAAGTACTTTCTTAATAGACAGGTAAGTGCCTTAAACAAACATAGCTATAGTTCACTGAACATGTAAACAACATTTGATATTCTGCTTTATTAGGCCCACAACTTTCCGAATTAATAATTCAAGGTGGTGTTTTTTTAAAAAAAGCACACAAACCAAAATCCGATTCTTCACTCTTTTAGAGTGTACACAAATCTATACATTGGAGAATCGCTTCATGGGCGTATAAAGACTACACACTACTCTAGTGTGTGTCACATTCATGTCACATTTAGGGGTTTTATATGAGTGAGATTTTTGCTAATCCCTTAAACTGAAAGAATTTCTTGCATCTTAGAAATTTAGAGAAAAACTCAATAACTCTTTCAGTGACTAATGACCAGTTTCAGATAATCAGGTTCTAAAATTTAAAACAACAACTTGGATTTATATAGCGCCCTCCACGCCAGACGGCGTCTCAGAGCGCTTTACAGTTTCGGATCCCGGGACCGAGCCAGGGGGAGGGGGGGAAGGTGACCAAAGGCACGGTCGAAAAGAAAGGTCTTCAGCAGAGACCTGAAAATGGGGAGGGAGGGAGGGAGGGAGCGAGACGAAGGGAGCGAGGAAGGCAGTTCCAGAGCCTCGGGGCATAGTGGCTCAAGGCGCAGCCGCCAAGGGTGGAGCAGAGGACTCGGGGGTCAAGGAGGAGGCCAGACCCGGAGGAACGAAGACAACGGGTGCTGTTTTGAGGAGAGGGTGTCAGAGAGGTAGGGGGGTGAGAGGAGTGCAGGGACTTGAATATGAGGGTGAGGATCTTGAAGTCGATCCTCTCTGGATCCTCTGCATCCAGTGCAGTCTGGCAAGGACTGGAGTAATCGGGGTGCGGGTGAGAATGCAGGCGAAAGGATATTGACAATAATTACAAAGTATTTGGCGATTATGTTTTTTACACATGGTCACAGACATTGCTTTCAATAGCAAGCTATGCGGTTTTAGCCGATTAAACCCACTCCGGAGTCCCCAAGCCTTGTTTTTTGTCATGATGTGCCTAATACTCTCAAAATACAGTATATCTTGTGAAGCGCTTTGAGATGTCTCAACGATTAAGCAGGATACGCCCCACCAGGGAGAGAGTGTACATTTCATTCCTTACACAGGGAAATTCCCATGTGTAGGTAGCATACAAATGTGGAACTCTCAGTCTGGTTTAGAAGCTCTTAATCATGGTTATGGGTTTTTGCTTGAGTTAGAAACCCAAATTACCAAAAAAAACTTACCACATTTGTTTCTATTTCAGACATTTAGTGGAACTGTTATCGTTTCTGGATCTAGTCGGCATCTGGACTATATAAAGAAAATAAACAACATGGAGGTATATTCCTGCTGTTGATTGTGTCATAGTTCTAAATTGATAATTCCAATTAGGAAGGAATTGAGGAATATATTGCTACAGTGCTAAGATTGTAGTTGTTTCCGTAAAGCTTCTTGTAGTTGAAATGGACATTTTGCTTTCTTCACTCTCTGACCCAGATGTTGCTGCTTCTTAATTCTGTGACAGAAAAATCCTGTTGTGAGCTTTACATTGTTAATAACATACATACTTTACACATACGTATTCATTTACTATACATACATAAGCTGCAGTTTTCCATAGTACTTAAATAGAACCACCTCCCAAACTAAGGCTGAATTTCCATAATTCTGCATGGTCTTAAATGTTAAATTGAAATGGTTTTACAGGCTGAGACAAAATGGATATTCAAGCCTTAAAAGCCGGATCATTAGCTGATTTTCTGAAGTCAATTGTAGAGTCTGCAACAGCTCACAACAGATGTAAGAGTCATGCAAGTTAGTGATCAGAGCATGGAATTCTGTAGCTTAGTAGTTAAAGCATTTGTCTTGCAAGCGAGATGGACCTGGGTTCGATTTCCGGGCACAAACACATGATAAGGCGCTATATCATATGTAAGGATGATTATTATTTTAAGTCAAACCCTCAAAAATAAAGAGTTACTTAGATGGGTGTAAAATATTTAAAACATGGATGATATATATTTGATGTTTATTTTACTGATTGTTAAAACATTTTTTGTTTAGATCTTTGGATGTTTTGCTTTGACTGAATTAAGCCATGGCAGCAACGCTAGGGCTATGAGAACAACAGCAAAATATGATCCCACCACTCAGGTTTGTACACCCTAGTTATAGTGACCTTGGAGAGTATTGTTTACATCTGACAGTGTGCCATTTTGAGTGTTATTCCTTTCTTGTTAGTAATACACATTTGCAGATTTTTTTAAAAATGTACAGTATGAGCAGTGTTCAATGGACACTGTAATGAATTGCTGCGATGTCACTTCCTGCACGTTGCTTGTAAGTTAGCTTGTAGGATCATGGAAGTCAATACAGCTTATTTTGTGGGTACATTTTGCCCACAAAATCTATAGTCAATTCACTTTGCAGTATATTCTGTGAAGTGCCTTGAGACTTCTCGAAGACATGATAAGGCCCTGTATCAAATGCAAGGATTATTATTATTACAGGTTATTCAGGAAATAAAGGAAGTAGAAGCGTTTCCATATATGTGGGACACATGGGAGTTTAAGGCAGTTTGGCAGGCATTGCAGGATTAATTATGGTATGAAATTCTCTGGTTAGTTGTGCTAAATAACAAAATGGCCAGATTAACATTCAAAGTTTGCTGCAGACCACTAGACCAAAGTAGGGAGAATGGCTTGTCACTTTTGGCATTATTAGGAGTGCATGTGGGAAAGAGAAGATAGTACTGATGGGATATTTCGATCTGCCCAACATATATAAGGAATGTCTAAGTGGGAAGGCCTCTAAGGTTGTAAATGTAAATGTAACCTATTAAATGTAAATGTAACTTGTTGTGTCGGAGCCCAGAGGGAGACAGTTCACTTCGTGATTTACTTCTGATCAGTCACCCAGACACTATTCAGGCACTAGAAGTAGTCGATCCACTGGGTAACAGTGACCACACTTGGTAACATTCAATTTGCCTTGGGGAAATGGCACAAAAACACAGCCAAACTCCAATACATAACTTTAGACGGGTAAGCTTCAGGAATATGAGCCCTAAATTAAGTGACATAGGTTTGGAGGCATTACTTAAATAAAATCAATTGAGGATAAATTGATATCCTTAAAAAAAATTCTGCAGGACAAATGCATTCAAGTACGTGCGGGACGGATAAGTGAAACAAAATCAGAAGTGAACACAGAAGAAGTGAACCTGTGTTATAACAAAGCATCGTATAAAGGGCTTCCTCTGTAACATGTTGTCCACCAGTTTTTAGTAATATAACGTGCAAACATGCACTTTATGTATGTCAATTATTTCCATTTTGTGTAGTTTATTAAAATAGGCCAAGTATTTTTAATATTTTCGCTAATGCTGTTTTTGAAATTATTGAACACTGATGCAGCAGTTTGGTTTGCCTTTTTGAGCCGTTCCTCCTGTTGAAATGACTTGTTCCCATTCCATAATTTCCTGTAGTTTTGCAGGGCAGTGAGCTGTGTGGTTTCATTTTGCAAAATTAAAGAATTGCTACTAAGAATTTGAAATGTTGTGATTGTGAGGCAATCTGTTAATTATTACTGAATGTACAACGAACAATCTGAATTCCAAACTTATTAAGTACATATATAAGTGTCACAATCTCAGTTTAGTTCATTGTACAAATTGTAGATATTTTAAGTGCTATTCTGTTTTTAAAATTTTCAAGAGATCAGTTATACAAATATCAAGCACATTTTGATGTAAAATCATGCACATTGTTTTACTTTCTTTGCACTAATTATTCCTTATATAATTTAATGCTGTCCAAAATTTATTGAGGATTTAGCGAAAATTAAGGGCATAAGGAGCAGTTCTTTCTATCACTTATTGGAGTTGGATACACCACAAGATGGCACTGGAGAGCGAGAGCTCCATCAATCGTAATACAGTATTGATCTGTAGATCACTGCTGCCTTTTCTCTGGTGGTTTGAATTAGATTTTATAAGAAGAGTTTTCAAAAATCTGTGCAAGCATACATTCATATACTGGATTTGCACAATTTTCCCAGTAACCAGTAATTTCCCAGTGGATTAAATAAAGCTTAGAACTCCTATAAAAGATTTGTAATTTTACACTGTAACCTGTTGTTGTCCATATGTGGTTGTGAATGGAAATATTGAAATGAACTATCTTTGCTTACTGGCGAGGAAGCTGTTAGTTTTTACCATATTGTATTTATGCTCAATAATATTATTGACCCTCAGCTTTTGTAGTATTGCTAACTATGAGTTATTTCTATTCAGATATAAGGTTTATAAGAGTTGCCATGCAATTAGCCTCACAATTAAAGTTGCCTTTACTGAGGACTTACTATAATTTTTCTCAACCAAAACTATTTATAGGAGAGATTCTAAGTCTTCCTTAAATTCATCCTTTTATCCTGTTTAGGTGGTTTGTTATTCCATGTCAATAATTCTATACATTGGATTTAGTTTGTAAATCACTGTGACCAATTACATGCACTGTTGAGCATTGCATCTTTTTGTGCAGCTTTATAGAATACATGAATAAGTATTCCAATATATTCATATTTGTAAACCAGTGCACACAACAGCAACAGTGATCTTCACTTAACCAATGGATTAAATTTCTACTTTAATAGGAATTTATCATCACTTCTCCTGACTTTGAAGCAGCCAAGTTTTGGGTTGGAAACCTTGGGAAAACTGCCACACATGCTGTGGTGTTTGCACAACTCTATACCCCTGGTGGAGAATGTCATGGGCTCCATTCTTTTATTGTGCAGGTAAGGTTTGCCACTTGCTTTGAAGCATTCAACAACAACAACTTGCATTTATATAGTGCCCTTCACATGGGGTAGCATTTCAGAGTGCCTCGTGCATTCAATGTAGTGATTACTTTTATATGGCAAATAGTAATATAATTTATCAGCACTACATAAGACAAATGTAAATGTACTTGCATATAAAATGTTTTAAATGTAAATAGGTGATAATTATCACACTGAATCTGTCATGAGATGTCACTTAGCGCTTTGGGACGTCCTCCCGACGTGAAAGGTGCTCTACAAATGTAATTTTGTTGTTGTTATTTCTGGCTATACTTAAAGAGATTGGCCATGGAATCTAAATTTTAAATTTAAACATTACCCCCCAGAATAGAAATATTCTAATCCCAGTTTGAAAAAAAATGACAGGGACCTAGGAAATTGAGAGCTCAATTAAGTTTGGTTTTAAATCCTGGAGGCAGCATTTGAGATCTGCTTTCACAACTTATTTTGTCCAGTATTCTATTTCTAACTCTCAAACATAATGTTTGAGCCGTAATGGAACAGGAAAATCCTTGGTGCAACTTTTGAGCAGAGGCCAGGAGGAAAGAGAGAGTAATTTCCCTGAACTCGGGATAATGTATGTGCCTCCGCAAGAATAGGATGAATGAAATATGCTTGGAGTGGGGATGGTTCCTTAGCCAGTCTTTTTGGAATGGTTGGAAATAAGCATTATTTCATAATATTATATTTCATCATATGTGTTTGACTACCACATTGAATAAGTTATGATAAGTTGCAAGTCATCCCATAATTGTCAAGTGCCAAATCACTTATCACTCATACTTGTTACAGGGATTATAGAGATGAACCTTAGTGTGGGGAAGTACACTCAACCCTCAATTAACTGGTCTTCAGGTATCTGGAATTCAGACATAGCCCTACCAGGTGTGGAAATTATTTTTTTGGAATACTACCCCTCAATCTCTCCGCCTTGTTCCTCTCTCCCCTTTTTCAAGTCACGCCTGAAAACCTTCCTTTTCAGCTCCGGTTAACCAGGGGTTGAGTGTACTTGAAGTGTTCCTCAATTTGGGAGGTTTTATATTCTATTTATATTGCTGGAAATGAAATGAGATTAAATTTTTCTTTTAGAAATCTCATGACAGAACGCTGCTAACTGACACCAAATACCAATTAACTAGGTTCCAGCACCCAAGAGCTTTTAAAGGGACAGACACAAACATCAGTGAACGATTGATTCCCATTGCCTGTATTTTATACTGCAATTATGGTAATTATTTTCCACTGCAATCCCATGCCTCAAACAGGATTTATGCTGTGTTTTCTAATCAATTCGGTGTGAAAATACAACATAAATGGGGCATTAATAGATTGGCACAAAAAATATAATCAGTTTACTGCCAAATTTCACTTCACCTGGCGACAGCAGCACATTTTATTGTGAATGTTTTATTCTGTTTTAGTTGAGCTGCTGAATTGACTAAATCAACAATTTTGTAAAGGTATGCAAATTGTCTGTTTTTATAATAATCCTTGCATTTGATATAGTGCTTTTCACGTCTGCTAGACGTCTCAAAGCGCTTCACAGGATAAACTGTAAAGTGAATTCACTTTGAATTGAATTTGTGGGCAAAACGCGGCAGCCAATTGCGTACAGCAGTGTCCCACAGACAATAGTGGATTGAAGTGACCAATTTATTATTATGTACAATTCATGTACAATTTATAGAAACATTTATTAAAACAAAATTTGCAAACTGGTTGTGTATCTTATTAGGATTAGACTGCATCTTGTAATGTTTTAATTGATACATTGTGGGAGATTCTACATTGTCAATAACTAAAGACATCATCTGGCTCTTGAGTGCGACTTTCCTCTTCCCTCTGACTTTGTCAATGATTGACCCTGAGCCACCCTTTGGTATTGTATTTGACTGTCATCGAAATACTTCTTTACCCTCATAAGCCATTATTGTTCTACCCGGAATTTCAATGCACAATCCCCAGATGGCAATTGTAGTGTGTGCCATAGATGTTTTGGAGTTCAATAATTGGGACGGAGCCAAGGGGGCTTTGTCAATGTCTTTAGTATCAATGATAGAAAGTGTTCAACAATGTGTTGATTAACAATGGTGTAAATTAATGCATCATAAACTAGTAATTTTCATTCCATATTGAATATAATCAGAATATAGTTCAGAAGAAAGCTTTTTTATTCATTCTAACATTTATTCATTGCTTCCTCTTGGTGATGTCATCCCTAGGCACAGGGTAAACTTCCTTATGTATGTAGATGACACACAAATCTACTTGGCCTCCTCCAGCTGCAACTCTAGGTCCGCCGATGTTCTATCAGCTTGTCTGGCAGACATCAGGGCCTGGACGAGTGCAAATTTCCTGCAGCTAAATGTGAACAAGGCGGAAGCCATACACCTTGGCTCCTGTCAACTTCTTCAGTCCTGCGAGTCTGAACTCCTCAACCACCCTGGGTTCAACCTCACACTCACCGAACCAGAAAATCCAGTTCATTCAGAACTCTGTTGCCCGCATACTTATCCAGACCAAACTCCATATCCCCATCTCACTATTTCTGGCCAGGCTCCACTGGCTCCCCATCACCGAACTGATCGACTTCAAGGTCCTCAAAACTTGTGTTCATATTGTGTTCACTTGTGTTCATTTGTGGAGTCCTGTAGCTCAGTGGTTAGAGCACTCGCTTTGCAAGCAAGAGACCTGAGTTCAATTCCAGGCAGGGCGAAACCTTGGGCAAGTTTCCTTACTCCACACGCCTAATAATAATCCCTCCAAAACAAAAAACAATAATAAATTGGTCATTTTCAATCTATGACTGTTTGTGGGACATTGCTGTGCGCAATTGGCTGCCGCGTTCGCCCACAAATACACAGTCAATTCACTTTACAGTGTGTTCTGTGAAGCGCTTTGGGACGTCCTCCGACGTGAAAAGCACTATATCAAATGCAAGGATTATTATTATTATCCCTTCACTCCCTGGCACCTCCCTATCTCTCCGAGCTCCTCACTCCCCAATCCATCACCTGGCGCCTCCGTTCGACCGTTACTCACAGGCCTCCTGCTGTCCCTCGCGTCCTCTGCTCTGGAGGTCGTGCATTCAGCCGCTACTCCCCGAAACTCAGGAACACTCACCTTCAATCCCACCGCCTTGCACCCTCTCTCCCCTTTTTCAAGTCCTGCCTGAAAACCTTCCTTTTTGACCATGCTTTTGACCAAGTCGGATGGTGGTGGGGGGGTCCCCTCCCCCCACCCGACTCAGAGTCAGGCTCCACAACTGTTAAGCGCTCTGATAGAGCATAGAGGGTTCTATATAAGTGCTTTTTGTAACATAAAAAATATGGAAACTATATGATTTTAGATCCGAGATCCCAAAACTCTACTCCCAATGCCAGGAGTAATGGTTGGAGATATGGGGAAGAAACTGGGACAGAATGGCCTGGACAATGGGTAGGAAACTCTTGCTTTAATACTGTACTTAATTTTCATATGTTTGTTGGTCTCTTTCTCAAAATCTATTACACTTTTTGCAATTTAAAATGCAGTTTTTTTAAAAAAAAATTAAAATGTTTGAATAGCCAGTACAAACTTTATGTTGGTTTGTGGTCACTGTCAAATATTTGCAGTGAGTAAATATGTCTTTCGAAAAAAAAAATTGTCAAAGTAATCTTTGCAATTCCTCATGAACACCAGGTTAAATTGGTTACGTAGTTTCATTATTTATTCAAATTGAAATGCCTTTCAATAATTTCTTGGATCCAGTAAAAAGACCATGATCTGATCAATGCTGGCTGGGTTTGAAGAGCCAAATGTACTGGGAGAGAACCAACTAATTGTGACACCAATCCCTGAGATTGCCTTTATTCAAAAAAAACATATCTGTGGGAACTTTCAATGTGATATCTGTCTCAGCTTCCATCTTGTATATGTTTAGCTGACGAAATATAAGCTTATCCAGGATTTGGTATCTGAAAAGAAGGTGGGAGGCCAGAGCATCAGTGTACCTAGAATCATGGGTGGAGGTAGAGAGGTAGGTTTGGGTATCATTCACAGCAGAGGATGTGGATGTTACTGCCTGACTGCTTCAAGCCTGACTGCTCTCAGGACCTTCTGTTCATATTTAAAAATTTACACAGGAACACATGAAGCATCACAACACACGTCAATTTTGGTGGTTATTTTTAAAGTAGTATTTTCTTGAACATACATGTGCTTTTGTGAGTGACACAAGTAGACTAAATTGAAGAATTTGCGTTCTGTGTTTCACCACCAGGTGGCAACATTTTACCGTAAGTATTTGAAATATAATTTATTTTATTAGCTCACATTTCATATCTATTTGTTTTGATCAGAGATCCCAAATTCTTTGCTGAAAATATGTTTACATTGCAACCTGATTCATCTGTCAGCAAACTTGCATGCCTTTAACAATCCTGCCTTCAACCCACAGTCGCCGATAACAATTTTTTAATCTAAAAAGAAAATTTGTGGTCATACTGTTACATATCATACTGTTGCATACCTTTAGCAATCTGATATGGTGGACAGTCAAAGGTCCGTAATCTTCTATTAACCAATATGTGAATTGTGAGATGTTGACACAAGCATTACAATAACAACTGAAGCCATTTTGACTTTCTTTTAATGGAAATTGTTTTTTTTAGAGTAGTCAGAAAGTGGTTATATGGATGACCATTATAACTTTATCAAAGCAATTTCAAAATTGATTAACATATAATGTAATCAACATAATGTAATAAACGTATGTAATTCATTTAAATTCATAGGGTTCTTATAGCTATCTTAAACACTGGTAAGTGTACGTATTTAGCCATTAAAGTAATAAGGCTCAGCATGCACTATGCAGGGAATTTGAGGATTGACTGACCGATAAAAGGAAAAGTTTGAATGTCAAGTCTTACCCCAATTTCTTACTTCAATAAACCAGCAAGTTTACTTTTACTTTTCCATTACTTTTGCTGAAGACACAATCTACTGTACTGATTTTCCTTCTGGGTGAAAAGGAGCCCGCCTCAAGCACTATAGTTAATTCAATGTGGCAATAATTCGGAATGTGGGCATCTGTATCTATCTCAGGAGTCCGTACATTGCAATTGAGTGACTGCATATCAGTGTGTGTGAAGTACTTTGAGACACCCTCCTGCTATGGAAGTCACTATTTAAATGTTAATTGTTATTGCAAATGAATACACGTTTATTTTCACTTTTCCCATATCTTCCTTGTTTCTCACTTATAGAAAGTGATTAATAGCAAAAGTGTAACAAATATTGTGACGCACATTCTCAACCAATCCACCTAACAAATATTGTGACGCACATTCTTAGCCAATCCACCTATTCATCAGACATTAAAACACAATTCTGACATTATTTCTAAGCCACCATAATATTTTTATTGTCCTCTACAAACTAAACAGCAACAGTTTTAATGTTTGCAAGACATTATTACTCCTGATAAAGAAAGTCTTTCTGTTGTTAGTACAACAATCATGATAGGTTCCCAAGTCTGTGCTAAACGGCTATTAGGTTGACATAGGATTTTCATGCAGGGCATAGAATTTACAGTTGTTCAACTGTAGTTTCCTTTGCCCTGCTGAGTATTGTGTTTTTTAATTAACAAAAAAACTCAAGTAAAGTTACCTTTATAAAACACTGGTACAGAGTACAGTGTTCAGTTGTGGGCACCACACTTTAGGAAGGATGTCAAGGCATTGGAGAGGCTACAAAGGAAATTTACCAGGATGGTACCAGGAATGAGAAACTTCAGTTATCAGGAGAGGCTGGAGAAGCTAGGATTATTCTCCTTGGAGCAGAGAAGGTTAAGAGGGGACTTAATAAGAAATTTTCAAAATTATGAAGGGATTCGATAGGATGAAGAAGGAGAAACTATTTCCACTGGTGGGTGGGTCAGTAGCCCAAGGACATCGATTTAGAATAGTTGTTAAAAGAAACAGGGGAGGTGAGAAGAAATTATTTTACACAACGAGTTGTTCGGATCTGGAATGCATTGCCTGAAAGGATGGTGGTAGACAATTCGATAACAGCTTTTAAGAGAAGTAGGTAATTATTTGGGGAGGATAAGTTTGCAGGGCTTTGGGGAAAGAGCAGGGGAATGCGATTGAATTGATAGCACTTTTCAAATAGCCGGCACAGACACACTGGGCAGAATGGCCTCCTTTTGTGCTGTATAATTTTATGATTCTATGATAAGTTGCTGACTAACATGAACCAAATGTCTGACCCAGCTTCATGTCAGTATTGAGACTGGTGTGGGGGGGNAGGAGGAAGAAGGATCCTTTGATACAGTACAATTTTCTAAATTGAAATCGCTATTAGACTACTATATCATGAATGAGGGATCCGAAGACCAATAATGGTTACTATCCACACTAACAGCTGCAGCTGACACAGATTTGAGCAAACATATATAAAATTCCACATTGTGTTGCGACATATCACATTAGCAATCATAATTCATTCCAGAAAATGTTTTCAGGCTGTAATCTAATACTACATTGGGATCTAGGAAATAGCTGTAACCCACTCAGTTGTTTTGTAGTTATGGCAACATCTGAAACCTCTTCAGTTTCCCGGTGTCCGTTGTGTCATTTTTTAAATTGCTTTGACTTAAACATTATATAACTACAAGAAAAGAATGTTACTTTGTACCCATATCTTCACTTTTTAAAGTATTGACAGTTCTGCAGTATTTTGTTGATTATACCTGCTTTTCATAAGTATATTAACATAACTTTATGCTAAAAATAGAATTATAATAATATTCACATTTCATAAAGGGTAGTATTCTACCTATTCAAACCGTTTTCAATCCATAAAGTGCATTCATTTTCACTCTTAGTTGTTTTATTTTATAAATTAGTAAAGTAATCCAGAGGAATTAGATCACGTATTCTGACCGAGGAGAAATACATTCTGAAGACAGTAAATTGAAATGGTTCAAACTGAGTAGAAAATATATGCAAAATATATATTTTTAAAATTAATAGACATTAATTGAATAGTTGTAAGATGATGTTTTACTTAAAATAAAATAAAACTGGAATGCTGCATAAAAATAGGAATGGATCAACGATTCAACATAATTGAAATTTCGAAACAACAAGATTACATTTGTATAGCGCCTTTCCCGTCGGGAGGACGTCCCAAGGCGCTGGACAGTGTACAGCATTTCAGATCCGAGCTGGGGTCAGGGAGGGAGAAGGGAGGGGAGGGGAAGGGGGGAGACCGATGGCATGGTTGAAGAGGAGGGTTTTGAGATGGGATTTGAAGGAGGCTAAGGAAGGGCGAAGCAGAGTGATTGGGGAATGGAATTCCAGAGGTTGGGGGCAGAGTGGCTGAAACTCTCCCACCAATGGTGGGGCAAGTGGGTCGGGGGATGTGGAGGAGGCCGCAGCCAGCTGAACGGAGGGAGCGGGCGGGTTGGTAGGGGGTTAGGAGGTCGCACAGGTAGGTTGGGGCAAGGCCATGGAGGGTTTTGTAGGTGAGGACCAGGATCTTGAACTGGATCCTCTAAAAGATAGGGAGCCAATGGAGTCGGGCAAGAATGGGGGAGATGGGGTCGCGAAAGTCAAGGTAGTTGGCAGAAAATATGTGAAACATCAATGTACAAAAAAAATCAAGTAGGCTTGCTACTTGCTTGTCTCCTTTCTGAAAGAGGAAATGAGCAATTTTCCAAGCCAGCTGGAAAGCGTTTCATGACTATCTTTTTTCCAAATTGCTGTAGAGTATTGGTAGTCTGGGTCATGTTTGCCCACTGTCTTCCTACAGTCTGGTAGAGCTGGTAGAGTTGATGTAACTAGAAAATATTTTCAGCTTCCTTTTATTTACTTCCAAGACAATTATGTGTGTAACATTCAGCCTTCTAACCCTTGCAACTGTTTTTATATATTATTTTGATTGGTGCAATAGAAAGAAGAAAGAACTTGCATTCTAATAGTACCTCATACACCGTCACACTTCTAGTTATCTGTTTATTTGTAGCCCCAGATCTCTGCTTCACGTAAGGATCAATATGAATCATTAAAGCATTTATACCTAAGTCTTTGATTCAACTAAAAATTTTCATCCCAATATTCAGTGCTTCACATTTATCATCATTAAACTGTATCTGTCACTTGTTTGACACTTAACCCAGTTTATCAATATCGTCCTAATGTCATGTGTAAACATTCTCACAGTTTTCACAATGTACCTAGGACCTGGGACATTAAACTAGCACATTCCCCTCCCCACCCAAGACACTGATGCATGTTGTAAAAGTAGCTGCCCCAGTACAGACTCCTGAAACATGCACTTCTTCCATCCTGCCAGTATGAGAAATTTGTCATCAGAAAGCGAGGAGGGAATACGAGTCTAAAACCTGGCAGTGTCAAAAACCTTTACTGCCAAGTTCAAGTTTACAGAAGGTGATACATATCATTTGTAGTTCCTGCCAGCATGAAAATCAAGCCCAAAGTCTTTGCACTTAAAACAAAGTACTTAAAGTAAGAGGCAGAGATTCTAATAAAACTCCAATTGGCAAACGTCTGGCACCTTCACTCAAAGCAGTGAGCAGTATGTGTTGGTGAGAGCCAACACTAAGCAAAGAAACATGTTTCAGCAGAAATACTAGGAAATACTGGTCACTCAGGAGAGAGACCAGACGCCACATGGTGAGTTTTTAAAAAAAAGTGTTTGCTTATAACATTTCTAAAAATTATATTATGAGTAATTTCTGAGACAACAAGGCTCCCAGGTAATGCAAGATTTTCTGTGTGCACAGAAAACCAGGACTTGTACATTGTTCTGCACAGAAACTTCTCCCCCATTGCTGGTCCAAGTCAGTTGTCTCCCAGTGGATGTGACCACTTTAATTGGGGAATAATAGGCTGTATGTGATCCAAAAGGATGATTATTCAGCGTAAATAAGGTAACATTTATTCTTTGGTGAGCCAATGCAATTGTAATGGTTAAATGTACACTAAGAGTTTTAAATTTGAAAGATGAATATTCATGTATAAGACTTGCCTAAACATTTTATTGCCTAAAAACATAGAAACATAGAAATCTACAACACAGAAGGAGACCATTCGGCTCATCAAGCCTGCACCAGCTCACAAAGCAGTCCACCTTCACTGCATACCCCTTCTGATTCATATACCTGTCTATTTTCCTCTTGAAAGCTACAATGGACGCTTTATTTATTATTATTTACATTTGGGGTCAAAATTTGGATATTCGTAAACATATTCCATTCCTTGTGTAGCACAAATGTGTTTTGAAATGCATCTCCATCTGACTTCTCAGTACAATACAATACAATATTACATTTGTATAGCGCCTCTCATGTCAGGAGGACTTCCCAAGGTGCTGGACAGTCAGGGATTTGGATCCGAGCGGGGTGGGGGGAGGTGGGGGTTGGGATAAGTAGGGTGGAGGGCAGGAGGGAGGCATAAGGCACGGTCGAAAAGGAGGGTTTTGAGATGTGCCTTGAAGGAGGCAAGGGAGGGAGTTAGGCGAAGAGAATGTGGGATGGAGTTCCAAAGGGTGGGGGCGAAGAGGCTGAAGGTAGTGGGGTGGGCCAGGCGGGGAATGTGGAGAAGCCAAAGCATGCTGAACGGACGGAGCGGATAGCTTACTTAAAGGTTAGGTGAACAGAGGGAGTGGACAGGTTGATAAATGGTTAGCAGAGTAATGGTGGCACCGAGCCTGGCTATAAAGCCCTGGGTGCACAAACCTTGATTCCTGTTTAATTGAGATCACTTTTGAGCTCCCAAAACATCTTTTCTGAGCTTATTCAGGGGATACTGGCCTCAGATTCAGAAAAGGGGAGACAAAGATAGCATTCTCATCTTCACCTTGGATCTGGCAAGTGCCTCATCTTAGTTCCCCTGTATTTCCTGGTCCCCAAATTGTTTTCTGACCTGACTAGTTCTTAAGGTTTCCATAGAGAGATTTTCCACATTTCCCACACCAAGAGAATTTCCGTATTTCACTTTTGTGCTCAGTATGTGCACAAAACTAAAATTTTCCCAAATTTGGAAGTGGAGTAGGATTATAAAACTGTTTGCAAATGGAATAATTCTTCAAAATAATTCCATTAAGGCCATGATCAGTGAGAACCTCATTTGTCTTGGCTGTTTTGTTCCAAAAAGTAGAACATCTAGGAAGGTGCCACAGGAGGGTCCCCTTTTCTGAGTCACACCAATTTGCCACAGACATGTTTAGCAATTCTATGCTGTTTAGAATCTGAAGGATAAGTAAAAATTTGTGCTTAAAATTGATTTCTCTTACAAACCATAGCACGATTTAGATAAAATACATTATTCCCCTTAAGTATTGACTGTACATAAGTAATACAGAAGATATTACAGAACCTTTAATCTATCTTGTTTGCGGTGTATTAGTGGCAATCCACCCAATTGATGTTTAACTTTTGAATTTCAGTATAAGATTATCTCTGTCTCCAATGAGGATTGAAATTGGAACAAGTTTGTTTTCTTTTCTTTTTAATAAAATACTTGTAGTATGGAGAAGCAAGAGTATGAGACGTTCTGTCTGGATATTCCTCTCTGGGGTTCCATTTAAAACGTATTAATGTTTTTACTGAAAATGCTGGCAATGTACCAGAATTCAATAAGCATTTGGTGCTTTTTNATATACCCCTGGAAACAATGTGCTATTGCTTACAGCAGTAGAGAGATTGGTTAAGTAAAATTCAGGCTTTGGGCTCCCCAATTGCTTTCAACTGGAGACTTGAGAGTTTAGCTCAGGCAAAAATAGGAGTACAAACATATAGTTCCACGAGACAATGCCATACTCCGGTTAGTTTCTCAAATTTATTAAAGAGAAAGAAGGCAACTGGGTCTTTAAAATCCTGTGAATTACTTTGAGATACCTAGAAGTTGCGATGAAGCACTGTACCACATACAAGTTTATATCCTGATTATTGAAAGTTTTCAGAAAATAGCTTTATTTCTGGAGTTAATTACTCTACAGAATCTTGCTTTAAGCCTCTTTCAGTACTCTCCAATTGCAATTCTGCTTACTGCTCCCGCAGTCTACTCTGCATTGCCTTAATGAATACATTATTCAGTATCTTAATGTTATGAAAAGTTGGAATTGAAACTGCTCCAAATTATGCCAGCGAATGAATTATCTCTCAACAATTTGCTTATGCTGTTGCTAGGGCTGTTTTATATGATGTAATTGTATCCTACAGTTGTGTTTTAGTTCAGCAGATGTTCCTAGTTGTGTCACTGTTTTGTGTAAATTTGATTGTGGTATAATATATAAAACGATTGTGTTTGTTTATTTGAACAGGTTTGTTATGTTCCATGATGTTAGAATACCTCGGGAAAACCTGCTAAATAGAACTGGAGATGTCACACCTGAAGGAATTTATGTATCTCCGTTCAAGGTATAGCAAAACCTTGCAAAAGAAAATCCTTCAAAGTTGTAATTTTGTCGAATTTCCTTCCATCCAGTACAGAAGTAATTTGGAACTGTACATGAAATCACCTGCCTTTCTAACCTCTTTTAAGACCAGATTGTGGTCATTTCATGTACATCAAGCTTCAGACTTCTTAGATCTTTCCGGAAGTTGAATGGGTAAACCAGGTAGATCAATGATCTTTTGCTTTACTTGCAAACTCTCTTAGCATCCAAAAGAAAAGCGAAATAAACTTCAGGCTTTATTTCAGTCACAGCTTAATGCAATATTAGGTTTACTGAAATAGAACCTGGAGAAATATAACAGCAAAACAATTAGTTGCAAAAAAATAATAATAATCCTTGCATTTGATATAGCACCTTATCACATCTTTAAGAGTCTCAAAGCACTTTTACAGAATATAGTGTAAAGTGAATTGACTGTATGTTTTGTGGGTAGCCAATTGTACACAGCGGTGTCCCACAAACAGTCCTGGATTGATTGACCAAATTTTTTTTTGAAGGGATTATTACTCCGGAAAAGCAATCTGCCAATTGACTAACAACAACAACAACAACAACAACAAGATTCCATTTATAAAGCGCCTTTCACGTCAGGAGGACGTCCCAAGGCGCCGGGTTCCTACTTACTGCTAGGTAAACAGAAGTGTGTGGAGTAAGGAAACTTGACTAAGTTTTCGCCCTGCCTGGAACTCAAACCCAGGTCCTCTCTTGCGAGGCGAGTTCCTCTAACCAATTCTCTATAGGACTCCAATACTCTACGGGACTCCAAATATGATAACCACACAGCACACAATTTATCCAGCAAAGGCACATTGCTTTTGCAATTCTTTCGATAGACCAGTCAGATTGATCAACCATCAATGTTACATCGGTTGCTGTGGGTCTGCCCAGATTTTGCAAGTCTACTTAGACATTTAAAGGAATCCCTTGGTCCCTCTGATTTGCCTAGAAAATAGACTATACGATATATGTTGTGATGCGCTTTCAGATATCCTACCAACATGAAAAGAACTGTATCAAATGCAAGGATTATTATTATGATTTAAATCAGACCCTGTTATGCCATGTTTGGTATAACGCAGGTCTGGGTTATAGCATGGTTACAATGTGAATCTGTGGTTTATTGGTAGAGCGATATACATCCAGTTTTCAGCACATAGCGCACAGGTCAACAACTGCTGAAATTGTTCACAAGAACAGTTGCTGGATTCCCAATTCTGTTATTAAAGACAGCTCTGAAGGCCACATTTTGACTATATTTTCCATCCTTGTGATTAAAAGCACTGGAATGATTGTCACATCACTTAACAAATTTATGTTCCACACTTTGCATACAAATACTTAGTTTTAGTTATATAGTTCCTAATAGGTTAAATAGTTTGGGACTTGTATTGAATAGATGCTTGAGGAGATGTTTTATAGATGTTTTTAATGAGTCCACTTAATGCATAAAATTGAAAATGCCAAATGCTTACTGAAGAAGAATGTTATAGAATTGCTTTTATCATTGAGACACTAAATTATGAATCATGGTGTATGTAATGTTATTGTAATATTTAGTAGACTTGAAATCCTAAATTAGATTCAAATCAACACATGTGCTGTCTCTTAATACATCTCAGAAAATAACGACAGTCAATTTGTAGTTGTCATCTTGTAGTAATAATAATAATAATAATCCTTGCATTTGATATAGCGCTTTTCACGTCGGGAGGACATCCCAAAGCGCTTCACAGAATACACTGTAAAGTGAATTGACTGTATATTTGTGGGCGAACGCGACAGCCAATTGCGCATAGCAATGTCCCACAAACAGTCGTAGATTGAAAATGACCAATTTAATTATTGTTTTTGGTTTTTGGAGGGATTATCATTAGGCTCTGTGTGGAGTAAGGAAACTTGCCCAAGGTTTCGCCCTCTGCCTGGAATTGAACTCAGGTCTCTCACTTGCAACGCGAGTGCTCTAACCACTGAGCTACAGGACTCCATAGATGTATGCTACAGGACTCTTGTAGATGCTTATCACAACAGTTTGTAGCTCCAAGTGCTCCAGGATGCTAACCCGTGTGAAGGGTGATATAGAAATCCAAGTTGTTGTAGCTGTACACATTTTCAGCTTTCCAGGTGTGGAATTGTCTTATCATTGCCAGAAAAAGTTTTAAAAGCTGATGTATTGAAAACACTGGGCACACAAACTGTCATTTCCAGTTCCCCAATTTAGCTACAGTATCAAATTGTAATTCTTAAAGATTTCAAGTCTTAACATTTTGTTATTGGGCAATGTTGGCAGGGTGCAAGACTCCAATGTGAATAATTTTTTCTAGCTATAGATTGATAACTCTGAAGTTGGTAGATGCATTCAGTTTATGCTTGTGCATTTCTTTTTAGGATTCTAATCAGCGATTTGGTGCATCTCTTGGAGCACTGTCTGCTGGCAGAGTGACGATCGCTGGCATAGCAGTTGTCAATCTTAAGCTTTGCCTGTCAATTGCTATTCGATATTCAGCAGTACGGCGTCAGTTTGGACCTACAGACAATGAAGAAATACCAGTGCTTGAATATCAAATGCAGGTACTGTACAAGCCAAGGCTAAATAATAAATAAGAACATAATAAATCCTTTCTTTGCAAAAAAAGTAGAGTACAATGTACAATACATTCAGGCATATTTAGCTGTTAACCACAAGATCTTGTTTATTATTAATTCCACTATAGATCAACATTTGATTTACTTTATAAGTTCAGAGAATGTTCAATAATATTGACGAGTTAAGGAATGACCTTAATGAGGTCTTCAAAATGATAACAGGCTTTTATCGAGTCAATAGAGTGAAATTATTTCCACTGATCAGTGACTGGATGGCATCAATTGAAAAGTTACCAGAATTTATTTTTCACACACTAGCTAGGAGATGGGTGCTGTGGTTGAGGCAGAATCCATATTGGTTTTCAAAAGGGAACATGACAGCTATCTAAAACAACAACTTGGACTTATAAAGCGCCCTCCACGCAGAGTAGCATCCCAGAGTGCTTAAAAAGGAGTCAACGACAGTGGTGTGGGGAAAAGGCAGTTAAATGGGTCTGGAAGAATTGCTCTTAAAAATAACCCAACAGACAAGATGGGCTAAATGACTTTCTTCTGTGCTCTAAATTTCCATCTATTAATAGATCCAGTCATGTACATTGCGACTTTGTCCTAAATTAGTGTTGAAAATCATTTCGATTTAGTGTTTTTATATTATTCCATGTTTATAAACTGCATTGAAGTGTGTTATTTTATTTCAGCAATGGCGCCTTATTCCCTATTTGGCTGCCACCTTTGCACTAGATCACTTTTCCAAGACATTCTTTCTCAGCTATGCTGAGTTTCAAATGGGACTAATGATGAAGGACAAGAGTGAGAGACAGGTAAGCAGTGCCATACTATAAACATTGTCAACTCGAGGTTTGTCAGGAACTTCTTGTTGGGATGTATCTTCTCCCCTTGGTCAGATACATGTCAGATTCTTGCCCTGACAGGACTGGAATCTCCCGCCTCAAACTGTTAGATGAGGGAAGCTTCTGTCACATTCATTATCTTCAGAATCTCCCAGTTGTTTCCCATGCCAGTAGACACTACTGCTCACATTGACTCTGTCACTTTGAGGATGTTTGAGAGAGAAGTGCTTAGAACTTAAACAGAATTACGTGAATCTTGTAAATAACAGTATTTTCGTCACAAATTGTTTAAATAAAATGTTTCTGAAATCCTTTTTTTTCCATTTTTTCATTTTATAAATGCAGTCAATTTATTTATTTTGAACTCTGTGTTTTTCAAAAAAAAACATGGCAAGGGGATGCAGTCCTGTTGAAAGATTTGTGTGCAGTGTTTCTCTTAATATGTTTTGAAATATCATTGTAAACGTAGATACTCAGTGAGCAGGCAGTTTGGTAAGGGGTTAGGAGGTCGCAGAGGTAGTGGGAAGCAAGACTACAGCGAGCTTTGAAGGTGAGGACCAGGACTGTATCCTCTGTGTGATGGGAAGCCAGTGGAGTCGGGCGATGATGGGGTTGATAGAATCGCAGAGATTGGTGCAGGAGAGGACACAAGCTGCAGAGTTCTGGATGATCTGCAGCTTATAAAGGGAGGAGTTGGGGAGGCCAACAAGCAGGAAGTTTGCATAGTCAAGCTTGGATGTTATGAATGCATGTTTAAGATGCATAAACTGCTAGAGACAAACTATTGTATAAAGAATGAAAGTAAAATTCAATCTGTAAAAATGTGCTGCAGTGTGCCCCTGTTCCATAGGAATTGTACAGTGTACCTGTATACTTTTTTTTGTAATTCCTTATGTAGAAAGAACTTGGTAGAGAAATACATGCTGTTTCCAGCGCAAGCAAACCTCTTGTTTCGTGGACTGCTCAACAAGGCATTCAAGAGTGCCGTGAAGCTTGTGGTGGTCATGGCTTCCTTGCCAGTAAGTACAGACACTTATGACGGATCCTCAACAAAAACAACTTGCATTCATGTAGCACCTTTCATGTAAGAGAACGTCTCAGAATGCTTTATAAAATTATGTTGGATGCCAACAGAGAAGGGGAAAGTAATCATAGGCATGTAGATTTTCAAGTGGAATTTAAAGACAGATAGAAAGGGAGTGAGACTTAGGGGTAGAACGTGGAAGTTCCAGATCTTAGTGGCCTAGAATTGTGAAGACTCAGCCTTCAATGGTGACTCAGAGAGGGACGATGAGTGATAATAGTATGTTTCAGGACTTTGAAATAGGTTGGAAATGGACTCGTAGTTGGAGTGTTTAGAGAGATCGCGGAACGTTTATGAGGTTGGTCATGATAATGGCAATTTTGAAAGGGAAGGGGACACAGTGTCATATGTTCGGGCAGGACACAAAGAGAAGTTCCCTTCTCTTTTGAATAGTGCCATGTGATCTTTATGATCTATCTGAGCAGGCAGAAGGGACCTCAGTTTAATCTCCCATTTGAAGGAGAGCTTCCTCAGCACTGCATTGTAGTGTTAGCTAAGATTATCAACTCAAATGTCCAACATGGAGTTTGAAACAACAACCTTCTGACCGGCAGGCAAGAGTGCTACCAACTGATAAAAATAAATAAAAATGCATCAATAAAAACTATTGAGCTACAATTAATAAAATACCTTTATTCTTCAGCACAAATCTTGAAATATTGCTATACAGCTTTCCACCCCCCCACCCCCATCATTAAATAATTACTCCTCCCTAACTTTCCCCAAAGTAAATTTGAAGATTCTCTTTGGTTTAAAAATTTGTAATTAACTCAGTAAAATCTTTTTGCCATACTAAATACGAAATACAAATAAGTTTTCCTTTATGCTCCACATCACTAGTTAAACCACGTTTGCATAATAATAATCCTTGCATTTGATATAGCGCCTTATGACTTCTTCTAGGCCTCTCAAGGCGCTTCATAGAATATAGTGTAAAGTGAATTGACTGTATATTTTGTGGGCGCAATGAGGCAGCCTATTGCACAGCAGTGTCCCACAAACAATCGTGGGTTGACTGACCAAATTATTATTATTATTTATATGAAGGGATTGTCACCCCCAGAAAAGCAATCCTCCAATTGACTAACAACCAGGTTCCTACTTACTGCTAGGTAAATAGAGGCATGTGGAGTAAGAAAACTTGCCCAACATTTCGCCCTGCCCGGGAATGTAATAAGAAATATGAGAAAGCAATCACTCTTGCTAATATTGGTGATAAATGCTTGTCATGTGTCCATGACATTGAAGCATGATATGAATGTAAATCTCCCATGACTTTGCTGATGATATCTATTTCACAAAAATTAGCATTGATCCATTGATACTGTAATGAGAAATGGAGAAACCTGATATATTTCCTTAGAACGCTCCTGTTAAGATAAAACTAATAGTAAATAATAATAATGATGCTTGCATTTGATATAGCACCTTATCACAACGTTGAGACGACTTAAAGCGCTTCACAGGATGTACTGTAAAGTGGATTGACTGTATTTTGTGGCTGAAAATTAAGTCGTTGGTACTAGATACTGTATAAGAATCTGCTGTGGCTCTAAATAGTATTACATGCTAATACAGTTGTGCCAAGCAGTAGGAAACAACTCATGCTGGATAATAGTGTGGCAGTTGCTGACTGCCCTCTGGTATATTGTCTTGTGGGCAATTTTCATATCCGAGTATAGACAGTGAGTATTGACAGACCATTCAATTGTGGAGCCTGTCCTCACTCATTGTCTGCATATGGGTAATTTCCAGCAGAAATCACTAAGGAGCAGGAATCTTAGCTGATATTTCACTTCCCTTGTCCAAGGAGACAAAGCCTAGGAATTACTGTCTTAAGGAAAGGACAATTTTTTTTAACAAGTGATTGATAATACAAAGAACAAATAAGAACATGTGCACCAGATAAGATACATCTGCCTTATGTTGTGCAACTCTCAGAACAGTAAGGAAGACTAGCTAAGCAAGCACCTAAGTTGCTCACTATGATTTTAATTTTGCAGTGAATCGCATTGGGGACATAAGAAATGACAATGATCCAAACTGCACTTATGAAGGTGACAACAATGTCCTTCTACAGCAGACTAGCAATTACCTGCTCGGTTGGGTGAAAATAAAGCACCAAGGTAAGTTTCCTATTGCATTGCATATCATTTTCTCAATAAAAGGTGCATACATTCATTAAGAAGGTCATAATGAAAAATCATTATCTTTTGTCTCATGGCACTGGTGCATGTGAGAAAGAATGAAGCATAATGAAAGGAATATTTTATGGTATAATTTTATTGCAGAAACTGGTTATGTTTGGTTGAAATATGCTTTGAAAGTTATTGGGAAGTTTTATAAACTTATAAAACCTGCGAGTAAACTTGGCACAAATCTAAGCATAAATTGCTGAACAAATGTACAAATGCATATCAGAAGGTCTACCAGTCTAGATTGGCAAGAGTGAATGAGATGCTTTGTAAGTTATTTTAGTAAATAAAAAAAGAAGTGAAAAGCATTCTATTTTAGCCAAATTATTTTAGTTTTCAATTCACTTTTCTTTCCACTTAAGCGTAACCTTTCTGGGAAAGAGTTGCTATAATGCTGATGGCAGATCTTTGCACTAAATGCATTTGATCATGTTTTGATATTCACTCCATGCTTCAGTGGAAAACTGAGGCAACGATAATGTATAGTTAGTGATAAATCATCAAGGTTGCACTGAACTGTTATGTGGATAAGTATCAGTAGAGATGGTGTGGGCTTAATCCTGGTCCAATGTCAATTGTATCAAGGGTCAATGGCTGAAAATGTTAGTATTACAATAAACTTTGGTACATCAAATCCTGGATGAGAGCTAACTTTCTTCAGTTGAACCGCAACAAAACCAAGGCCCTCCTGATTGGCTCCCGTCAGCGCCTCCACACCTCAGTCACTGGCATCATCACCATCCAAGGATGCACACTCCACTTTTCTGAGCCAGTCCGGAACCTTGGCGTCTCGTTTGACCCTCAACTATCCTTTCTACCCCACATCCATGCCATGCCAGGCTCTGCCTTCTCCCACCTCCACAACATTGCCTGGTTCCGCCACTGTCTCACACTGCAGGCCGCCGAAACCCTCATACATGCCTTCATTACATCCAGGCTTGTCTATGGAAACTCCCTGCTTGTCGGCCTCCCAAACTCCTCCCTCCATTGGCTGCAGATCATTCAGAACTCTTCAGCCCGTGTCCTCTCCCGCACTAGGCTCTGTTACCCTATCACCCCATCCTCCCCCAACTCCACTGGCTTTCCATCACACAGAGGATACAGATCAGGATCCTGGTCCTCACCTTCAAAGCTCTCTGTGGTCTTGCTCCCCCATACCCCTGCGTCCTCCTAAACCCCCACCAACCTATCCACTCCTTCCGCTCACCAGGCTCAGGCCAGCTTCACGTCCCTCGCCTCACTTGCCCCACTATTGGCGGGCCTACAGCCACTCTGCCCCTGTGGAACGCATCCCTCCATCGGCCTCGCCCATTCCCTCACCTCCTTCAAGACCCATCTCAAGATCCTCCTCTTCGACCTTGCCTTCAGTCACCCTCCTTCCACCCTGACCGCCACCCTCCCCGATCCCAACCCGCAGCTCGGGTCCGAAACACTGATTGTCCAGCGCCTTGAGACATCCTCCTGACGTGAAAGGCGCTATACAAATGTAATTTTGTTGTTGTTGTTGGTGATACAGATCTGATCTGGTGCATCAAAACAGAATGTAATGTACCAAAACAGCTGCATTGCCAGAATTTACTGCCACTCTGTTTTTAGTAGCCATGATATGCTCTCCCCATTTTAAAGGTTATTTTAATTTTTAGTATTATAATATAGCAGGCATGCATATACCCACAATTCTTGCTTAAACATGTCATTAAGTGTGAGGATTTAGATTGTTGTTTAAGTCTTCCAGTGTTTTTAAGGTGAAAGTCTGTAGACTTGCAAACCATTTAGCAATGTGTTAGTCCAGTCTGAAAACAACTATTAAGTGTCAGCCTGGTTAAGTCTGATAGCTCTCTTGTTCTCTGAGTTAAAAGGTTGTGGATTCAAGCACTGTTTTGGGACTTTGAGCGTATAGTCTCGGCTTGACATTCTAATGTAATGCTTGGGGAGTGTTGCATTGTTGGAGGTGCCATCCTTTGGATGAGATGCTAAACTGAAGTCCCATCTGTCTCTTTAGATGATGTTAAAGATCCCATGGCATTATTCAAAAAGAAAAGGAGTATCTCCTGGTATCCTGTAAACATTCCCCCACACAAAAAAATTAATTTGTTAGTCACTAACTACACTTTACGGTATTTTCTGCAAAGCTCTTTCAGATGTCATGCAAAGTGGCTATAGAACAATATCAAATGCAAGGATTATTATGATTATCTGGATCTTAACAATCATGGTACACTTCTGGATAAAGGTTTTGCACTTAGAATTCCCTGATGTATCCCTAAGTTGACATAGCATGAAGTTTTAAAAAAAAAAAGATTTCTTAACTCCATCTTCATGAGCTGTGTAGCAGAATCTCACTGCTGTGTGTTGACTTAATAATGATTCAGAATTTTGGACAGCAAGTCTTCTAGAAGTCAGTCTGAATCATAGCACAAATCTTCACCACTAATATTGTTATATATCTGTCAACACTAACTTTAATAGAAATCATATAATAAACCCAAAAATAACATAGCATGAAGTTTTAAAAAAAGATTTCTTAACTCCATTTTGATGTTCTAAAATTGACTGTTGGACCATTTGGAACACAGGAACTGGAGGAGGCCATTCAGCCCATCAAGCCTGTCCCACCATTTTCCAAGATCATGGCCGATTGACAACTCAATTTCACCTCCCCACCCATATCTATCAAGTATTTATCTATTTGTCTTTTAAAAATCTCACCTGACTCTGCCTCCACTGTCCTCTGGGGGAGTGAATTCCATCCTCCCACTGTGAATATGTGAAAAAATGTTTCCTTATTTCACTTTTCAACAGTTTAGCCTCAAGTTTGAGGCTACAGCCTTTAGCCCTCAATTCTCTCGCCAGAGGAAACAGTTGCTCGCTATCCAGCCTGTCAGATTCCTTCATAATTTTATACACCTCGATCAGATTACTCATCAACCTCCTGAACTCAATTCATTACATTTGTTGTTGATATCTACTTTAGACGTTGTATAGAGAAGTGGAAAAACATTAAAGAATGATGCGTACTGTATATATTATGTAGAGTATGCACTGTAAAAGAAACAAATGCTTTTGAAAATCGATTATGTGGATTTTCTATTAAAAATCTTAATTTGTTCAATGTTAGACCAGGGTACAGTCAAGTCTCCATTGCATTCGATTGATTTTCTTGAAGACTTCAATTCCATTCTTAATCAAAAATTCATTTCAACCAATGATGATGGCATGGACGCCTCAGGTAAGGTATCAAGTCACTTTGTATTACAATCAAATTTGTTTTAAGTGAATTATTAAGATGAATTTTATATTCAAACTGTTATTGAAAGTGGATTGGCATTTAAATATTCTTGCAACCAAAATACATAGTCTTTTTTCTGCTACATTTCCTGCTCTCTTTTAATTGAACCTTGTAGGGTCATGTTCTGTAATGGCTTTATCTTCAGGATTTTCCTATAAATTCAACATAATATGGAATGTTTCAAGTTTTCTTATGTCTGCAAAGCATAATTATATAGAATTAGATAATTATATAGACTTAGATAAATTTGCCAAAGGCACTTCATGAACCATATAGCAGAATCTTACTGCTGTGTTTGATTTAATAATGATTCAGAATTTTTGATAGTAAGTCTTCTAGAAGTCGGTCTGAATCATAACACAGATCTTCACCACTTATGTTATATATCTGTCAACACTAACTTTAATAGAAATCATCAATAAACCACAAAATAATTGAGAGAAAAATTAATGTCATGTTTTGTGAGCATTTCCCAATGTCTTTATAATGGGAAATCGCATTGTAAAAGAGGAACACTAATGTTAGCAACATGATCTCACTATATGGATAGGTACCGACATATAGGACAGATCCTTTGATGTAATCTGAACTATTCTACTGCAAATTTTAACTGCAAGTTACAAAGGAATAGTATACCCTGTATATTTTCAGTAGATGTGGACAGAAAAATGCTTCCTAATTTGTGCAAGTTGTTAAATAATAAATTATATTTGGACAATAATGTTTTTCTGATGAGTCCCATTGATTACTTTTACTTTATGAGTGTCTGGAAATAAACTAATTGCTGCTGAATGAAAAATTCATTCTGAAAACTAAATTAAAATTTCACGTCTTTCATCCATTCCTCTTTCCTACTTCTCTGAAAATAATGATGATTTGCTAAGCTGTGTCCAAACATTAAAAACCCCACATGAAAAAATGTTGAACAATCTTTCCAAAAAATAGTGTGTGGAAAAATAACGTCAGAGGCTTCTAAGTATGCATCACTCATTCATTTCTCAGATTCTATAATATATCCCCCCTCTCTACTGAGTAACTCTCTACAGCTACTTGTTTCCATCAAAGAGCATAGTGACTTTAAGCATTAAATTCACATGTCTGTGATCAATAAAAAGGCCAATTCGGTGTTAGGAGATCAATGATTTCAATGATAGATGTAATTATTTAAAACAACAAATTAAAAGAATTACAATGTATTACAACAAATGACAAATGCTTTCAATGATGCTTTTTTCTTGTATTTGAAATGCACAAATTATTCGCTTTTTTATTTACTGTCGTCTGACAACTTTTCAGACTGGCTGAAGAATTTACATTAAAATCTTTACACTGGCTAGATTCAAAACAGATGAATAGTTATTATACAGAAGTGGGAATGTAAAGGATTTCAAACAATATGCATTACAAAATTATTCCTTATTTCATATAATGTACACATTGTACATCATTACAGTTCAAATAATGTGGTACAATATTAGTCTTATTCAAATTACCTGATTCAATCAAAGGATTCTGCTATAAATCTGCCCAGTATGGTGTTTAGTCCTTTATGTCCAGCATAGTTGTGCATATAGTTTGTGAATGTATTGGCAACATTTTCCAGACAACAGATAACAGATACTATAGAATTAGAGAAATTTACAATGCAAGCAATGAAAAAGGTTTTCTCCTCCTCCCCCGAAACCTCAGAAGTAGTTGCTTAACATTTGAACCAGTATAACCATTGAATCCAGATACAAGAGCATGTGGTCACAAATTTACATCACATATAGTGACTTCCAGCCTTGATAAAATGATGAGTTGGATTGATCACTTGCTCAGGATGAATCATTCTGTTTATCCCTATCTCCTTGTTTTAGAACCACTTGTCACTCTCCTATTGATTCTTGAGATCAGGAATTTGCTCTGTACGAAATCCTGGGCACAGAACCCACCCCCATTTCTTAACTTCTCAATTGCATCACTTCATTGGGGACATTTGAAGTGGTTTTTCTTTGTTGTTGTGAAGTATGCTAATACTGAAGGAAGTGGAAAAACAATAAATGATTCCCTGATGTTTTGGGAATTATTTTCCACAGCTTTCTGACATTATTATTATAATAGGCTGATGAATCATTGTATGGTGTTGCTGCATCCTGTTTGCCGGCAGTTTAAGACTTGTGTTCTAGACAGCTGGGGCCAGCTGATACTGCCCATGCTGTTTGTCTCCTCCCCAGTGCTTAAGTACCCTTCTAAGTACATTATTTTCTCATTGCAACACTTAAATTTCCATCAGCATTAAATAATTGTTTGTTTATTACCCTAAATAAATCTTTGTGGATATCCATTGATTTAATGCATCTCTTGAGGACAGGTCAATATGAAAGGAAGGATGAGAATTTAGGGCTAATATTCAAAAAGAAAATAGTAAATAATAGTACATGCTTGTAGTTGTTTTCAGAAGTATGGTCCGTCTGCCTGTTCCATTGGATTCGAAAAGAGAAGGGAGTTTCTCCCTGGTTCGTGGCCAACAGTCTTCCAAATAAAATTAGTTACGCACTCCATGGTTGTTTGTGGGACATTGCTGTGTGCAAATTGGCTACCACACTCGCCCACAAAATACAGTCAATCTACTTTACAGTATATCAGTATATCCTGCAAAGTGCTTTGAAATATCTCGATGACATGATAAGGTGCTATATCAAATGCAAGAATTATTATTATAGAAAAGGTGCATAAACACTTCTTTAAGAGCCTTCAAAATCTAACACTACGTGCACACGTAGGACAATTTTAGCATTGCTTTAGTTTTAATGGCAGAGCAGGGTCGATGGGCCTATTTTTCCTATGTGTACGTAATTATTTGTGATGGTTTTGCTCTAGTAGGGTCTAATTTCCAGTATTTCTGAAAACAATTTCTTACTAAGTAATCTCATTAGAATTCTTGTCAACTCTCCTTTCCAGAAGTAGATCAATTTAGAGCAGTGTTTTCAAGGGTCATCATAACATTTTTCCAGGCATCAGAACATTACTAATATGTTTCCATTACAGCAGCTTATACTCCCATGTTTTATACAGAGATATTCAATGTATGTTTATGCAGAGGCACACAAACCCCAAAATGTACCTCTCCTTTCTTTCCCAATATCACAAAGGACACAGAGATGGTTAGAAAGTTGCAGCTGTTGTGACTTTTTAATTTGGAAACTATTGAGGTTTGAAGAAAAAGGAACTGGTCATAAATTCCTGCACCCCTGGAAAGAAAGTCCAGTTACTTCATGTTATGGGGATTAAGTTGCCTCAAGAAGCGGTGCCATAGTCTGGGCTACTTAACCAGATGTTCCAAAATAGTTGTTACTGATCTGGCCTGAAGCATGTACAATTATCTTGTGTTTCTGCCACCTTGATGGGTTCAAATAGTTTGCAGCTGCAAAATTTAAAAGAAAATATCCTCATATAGCAGTTTATATTTTGAAAATCAGGCCAATGAAAAGCAGGCCAGAAGATTACACCAAGTCTTTGATTGAAGTTTGCAGGTGCAGGAATTGGTTTCTCTAGGCTTATTTGCAGTAATGTTGTAGCTCTAACTTCGATTGAGTTAAGTCAGTATCGACTGAATGAGCTCACAAAGGAAATATTTCAAGTCTTGGAAATGATCTCTGCCAAGATGGAATTTGATGGAATTGACTGCTTCCAGATAGTTGGGAGGGGTATGTATTTCGAAACACACATTAATTCAGTCTATTAAATATGGAATCAGGTGCCTTTAGGAACACCGCCCATAATCAAACAGCAGTAATTAATTTTAGAATGCCAACAAAATAAATGAACAGAAATATGTGTTCAGTCCTACGTAAATACTGTGTCTATACAGTCATAAGAATAGTAACCTACTGTGATGCCTGACAGCTGTTCGGATTAAAATTAATTTAAAATTAAACTGCATTTCATCTGTTTGGATTAACATTTCTAAAGCTGCTACTGTTATTGGGAGCATTGTAGTCATGAACCTTTTCCCACATTCAATTTGTGATGCAGGAATTCTGAATAATAAACAAAACTTCAACTTGTGCTATGCCAGGCTCTGACTTCAATTTGAATCATTCTTTCAACATTTAGTATACTCCCAGTGGGTACAATACAATACATATTTACATTTATGTAGAGCCTTTCACGTTGCGAGGATGTTCCAATGTGCTTAACAATCCTGTCTTAGCTCCTGAGCTGGGGGTTGGAGCAAGGTTGGCAGGAAGGGGAAAGATGATCAATACCACCGGGAAAGAAATAAGTCTTTTATTAATGTGGTGAAGGAGGAAGGGGGAGCAGAGAGACTCTGGGATAGAGTTCCAGAGAGAGATGCGGAAAGCCCAAATGCTTTTTATACCTTTTGTTCTTTTCAGAACTACAATAGCCCTGCCCACTGCAAGACTATTGTACTTTTGTAATATCCTGCAATATTTTTATGTTTTATTCACCTTACCATTGAAGCCAGGAAGTGTTCAACTTGACATCCAGTTTTCCTCTTTCATCTCATGTCTGAGCACAAAAATGACCTAATATTGCAGCAGTAATCCATTAAATGTGATCACATGTGCCTAATGTAAGATACTTTAAAATTATGTTTTTTTCCCGCCCCCATCAAATTTTATTTCCACTGTTCTTGAAGGTATTAACATCCATGGGCACCACCCCCCGCCCCCCCCGCCACCCCCAGGGCTTCATCCTCATGGCTGTATTTCACGTGACAGTATAGTCATTAAGTAAAGTCCCAAAGGATCAACTAATGCTGGTGTCTAAGCTAAAGCCAGCTTCGCCATAAGCTGGGGAGCAAGACTGGGACTGTACAAGTTTGCATCGCTTAGCTTCAAATGAGACCATTTTTGTATCCACTAAGCTATCAGAGGAATTCACTGTGTATACAGTATTATGTGCACATTTTATTCTCAGCAAAAAGGCATCAT